ATATAAATATCATATTGAAATTCTAATAAATTCAATGATTTTAACAACAATTAAATTGCATTGTAATATTTAGTGTATATCAATTGAATACTCAATCTTAATTAGAATAGTAATTTAAAAATGAAAAAGGTACAGCCAGGAAGAACATGGACTAAATAAGAGGATAATTAATTACTTTAGGGAGTGGAAATATATGGACGGGATTGGGATAAAATAGCAAAAGTGATGAATATCAAATCTAAACCATTACTAGAAGAGAGATATAAAAATCTGATAAATCAAAAACCTAAACCTATTTGGGAATTAAATGAAGATATTTTATTATTACAAATGGTAGATAAACTAGGGAAGGATTGGGAAATGGTATAGAAAGTTGTTAAAACTAAAGATATTGCTTCATGCAAACGAAGATTTGCTAAAATAAGAGATTCTTGTTTAAATTTAGAAGGAGAAGATAAAGATTTAGTGCTTTTAAATTAGTATTGGTATAAGGAAGATGAAGAGATGCTACTATTCTTATACGAATTATATAATGGAGATTGGAGTGAGATATTTAAAAGAATACCAGAGAGATATCCTAAATACATTTAGGACTAATTTAAATAAAAAGGCTTAGCAAACTAATTGCATAAATGGAATAATGAGAAAGATGCAAGGTTATTAGCATATGCCTTTTATGGGATTCCATTTAGCAACTTTGAATAAGAAACAGGATTCTCTGTTCCGTAATGTGAAGAGCGATTAAAAAAATTACTTTATAAGATTTCAAAATCTTTATAATAACCAAAAAAGACAAAAGAACAATAATAATTTGATGAAATTATGTAATTTAGTGAAACTAAAAGAAAACCCAATAGATCAAACGAGACTAATTCTATGAATCAAATAGACAATTAATAATAATTGAATTATTATTCAGAATTTTAGGCAGCTTTGAATTAGTCTAAACATCAGAAACAGAATCAAATACAAAATAGAATTGCCTAAAAACTAGAATTAGAAACAGAATACTAAAATGATGATGATTTTGGAATAGTATTAGATGAAGATTTTGTAAGTGATTGAAAATTTATATATAAAATAATCAATCTAAAACATTAGTTATCATTCAATAAGAATCTACTCCAAAATACACACTATCTCTACTAAGATGTGTTATATTGATATAAAAATAAGAATCTTTAATTTCTTATTTATTTTTATATATAATAATATAGAAAGTTTTATCATATATTTTCTAAATCTTACTCTAGCTAAGATAAAAATTACATGTAACTAAAACTATTTTACTACTAATTTATTAAATAAAACTGAATATTAAGTGAAATTCATGTTAATTTGAGCATTGTCTACATTAATTTTATCTACAAGTTCAGGGATAAAAAGATATCTTTCTTTTTGTGAAAATTGGAAAATGTTTTAGAAATTGTTATGTTTCTCATATATTTCTCATTCTTTAAACCCTTTGTTTTAAACTATTAATTAAATATTTTCGTAAAATTAAAACTATTGTCATTTATTTTATAATAATATTCAGGCTATGAAATTTAATAGGTGCTAATATGATTAAGCTACTTTTACTCTTCAGATTGATTATAGCAAATGAAAATTAATAAATAAATTATTTTTATTAGTGATAAGTATTCTTTAGATTTATCGAAGCCATAATTTTATTGAAAGAATATCTTCGATAAACTCTTATTGAACTTAATTGTTATATTTTCTTGAAATTCCTTTTTTTATTAACAAAAATGAAAGTTTATTATATTAATAATTAGCTTTTCCATGCGAACAAGTTGTTTAGGACCCAAATTGGTTCTAAGTAGAGCTTAGGTGGAGAATTAAGAAGATATTCCCGAAGAGCCTGATGACTTTGAGCCAATTATCATTTAAAGGAAGAAAATTAGATATAAATCAAGCCGGAGTGATCGATATGATAGTCAAGGGAGAAAGATTGCAAAAGGCAGCAGATATGGAATTAACTTCGAATCTTTCATCACAGTTTGCGTTTTCGAGCCAGATGATGAAGTAGTTTAGATTAAGGATACTTTGCAATTGTGTACCTAAGCGATAGATAAAGAGAAATTAAACCCACGGCTGGATCAAAAGTTCAAAGAAGAGCAAACAGAGAATGAAGTTATCTTATTTTCAATTCTTAAATAAAGCAAAGATAAATGATATCTGAAAGTATATTATATTATTATTTTTATATTTCCATTGGTCTTAATTAAACATTGCAGTAGAATTCAGGAAGAACTAACAATTAACCTTTATTATAGTATTTAATGACAGAAAACATTCATCTTCATATTTAAACATAATTATAATATCTTTATCAATTACTCTCTGCTTATTTCTCTTATTCGCCTTCCTATGGTGCTTGATCATTTTTTTAGACTTCTTCTTCTTTCTCTAAATCATCGACATTTCCTAACATTAAGAATTTAAGGGATACCCTCCTTAGGCTATTCCTCCTCAGCCTCTTCATCATCTTCGTCTGCACCGCCTTAATCGAAATTTTGGAATTTGTTCTAATCCCAATCATCCAAACCTTTACCTCCTTCTTCGGCTTCATCATCTTCATCGATATACTTAGTCCAATCGACCTTTTATTAGAACATTTATCAAACCTATAAGTATTGTAATTTATGTGTCTCTTTGATTAATCTAGTCCAATATGAAGCAGTTTTATCTTTCTTTGATAAAATGAATCTGACATTCAATCCATAATTGGTCCATTTACTTTCCTAAATGATATAATTAAAATAGATACTTCAACAACAACTTCAGCGAAGAAATTAATTTCAAAAACATAATTAACACCCTCTGCATTAGCTGAAAATTTGAGTGAACTTGTTGTCAACTCGACTTTTTCATCCTTCAAATCTCTTACTTCGACTGTCAAAAACACATTGTCCTTTCTTTAAGCCCATTTCACTATAGGTGCGCTAGAGAAATTTCGAGAATAAAATTTACATTGTCTTTTGCATCACTTTGATATTTAATTATTTTATTTCTATAAAAGATTATTTCAAACTCTAAATAATTTCTATTAAAGTTTCTAGAAATTACTATGCGAAGCTGTTGAATATTAAAATCAATTAAATTCTATTGAATCTCAAATTCATGCAATTTGAACTCAATTCTAAACAATCGAATTTCATGATCATTTACATCCATAAGCCATACTTATCATTAATTATTTGAGCATTAAAGAAATTAAGCTACTTTTCATAAAAATATAATTAGATAAAATTTGACACGATAATAAAATTTATATATATATAAATGAATAAAAGGTTGTCAACAACATAGTGATTACCTCTTTTTTTCTTCTTACTAATTATCTTCAATGAAACTACCTTTAGAACCTAATTTAACTCCGCATTTCTAAATAGTCATTTATATTTTTACTTCGTTAGATAGATCAATTTAGTTTAACTCAATTTTCTTGTATATTTTCTCAGTAATTATTTAAAATGCCTCATCAACCTTGTAATTCTATTTAGCACAAACTTCGATGTATTCTAAGCCATTTTATTTTGCCATTTCTTTAGCTTCGTCTTCTGATACTTTCCGACTTACATATATATTAAATTGTACATATCACTTAAATCTGTTTTATTGGCAACAAGAATTATCACGATGTTATCGTTGCCATATTTCTTGATTTCATTAACCCAAATAGTAGCATTTTCAAAGGTTTCTCTTCTTGTAACATCATAGACTAATATGGCACCAATAGAACTAATGCTTTTTATACTGGAATACCCTCTGTAATATGATCTAGTTATGGATCTGAATGATTCTTGACCAGCTGTATCCCAGATTTGAATTTTGATTACTTTAGATTTGATAATCATTTGCTTAGCCCCAAATTCAACCCCAATGGTGGCTTCATGGTCTGTTCTAAATTTTTTATCAACATATTGGAGTAGAAGGCAACTCTTTCCAACGCCTCTTTAATAGTTTAGAATGTTTACTTGTGTCTCCTACAATGATGAATTTGAATAAGTAATTATATGGTTTATTCATTATATAATTGAATTCAAAGACTTTTTGTATTTTGCATGTTATAACAATGAAATAGTTTCATCAAATCTGAGTTGCAAATTCTTACAACTCAACACAACAATAATGTAATATTCCATTTCATTAGATCGATAAGCACTTGCTAGACAAGGACCAGCAGAATCAGTAACTCCAGTTTTAATGCCAAAAAACCCTTTGTCTAATAATTTATTGGTGTTTTTCCATTCATAACTTTTTTAATTGTAGAGAGGTTTCGAAATGTACTCCTTACATGAAATGACTTATTGAAAAGTATCATATTTCATACACTCTAATGATAATAATACAATGTCATGACAACTGGAATACTAATATAAGATAATTACATACATTATCTTCATTGGCCAATCCATGCACACAAGCGAATTGAGTATTTTATTGTCCCATCAAATTTGAATAATGATTCATCTTACTAATGAATATTTCAATTGGACATTGATGACTCTTCAACTCTACATTGTAATAATGACCTTCAGCACTCATCTACTCAATATCTATCAATTTAGAATCCAATCGCTTGTCTGCTTCATAAAACAATCTAATTGTTGAGTATATAAACTTACATTATCGTCCCAATGGCTTGTGCAATTAGAGTTGCAGCATCATTTCCTGAAGGCAACATCAAACCATATAATAGATCCTGAATAGTCAAAATGTCATTGTATTTCAATTCAGCTGTTGTTCCTATGGTTTCCGAGGCCTTTTTAGTAACTTTAACTTTGATATCTTAGGATTTGAGATTCAATTGTTCTAAGATAACCATTGTTATGTAGAATGTCATAATCTTGGTTAAACTAGCAATTTCCATCCTCTTGTTGCACTTTCTTTAAGAAACTATCCTATTCTCAAGGCAATCATAAACAATAAAACTTTTGGCTGAAACATTCACTTTTCTTTTTCTTGGTTTTCCACAATACGAGTAAATAATATTTTTTGCATAAATTTAGTACTGTTAACTGCTTTAATTCTGACTTGAATCTTTGCTGCTTCCTGTAGTTGTGGAATTGTTTACCAGATTATTTTTATGATTATTGCTGTTCGTTTTAAATTATGATCTCACTAACGATCTTTTAGTATCACTATTTTTGGGTGATTAAACAAAATTGCTGCTTCTAGTTAAATCGTTTAATTTGGTTTATGTATTCATAGCTGATAGAGGAATCTGTGGTAAACTACTTTAAGGGTTTATCTATTTAAATTTGCTTGCCACATTTTCCTGATCAATTTTTATCTACTTGCTCTCCTTTTCTGTCTATTACTATGATTGTTAAAATGAATAATTCGAGTCCTTTCTTAATTTTATACTATTCACTATTATTGGAGAATGGAATTCTGTTATTATTTATGGAATTTTTTGATAGCTTTTCAATAATTGCATTGCCTTACCATTTTCCAATACTTGAACCCTTCTTGAAGGATGCTGCAACTTAATTGGAATTATAATATCATTGAAATTGATATTATTCAAGTTAGATTAAGTTTTATTTATAATCATTATTAAAATATATATTAATTAATCCATACTACTCTTTCTATCAATATTAATAGTAAAAAGACACAAATGATAAATCAAATATAATACTAGCACGCTAGGATACCGGAAGACCTAGATTATTAAATTCAATCTTTAGATGTTAAATAGCACTGAATCAATAAGAGATAAAAAAGTAAATATTCATATTATAATCCTGTTACTTAGTTTATCTTTCTGGTAACTAAAATTATATATTTTTAATATCATATCATATTGTTTAGATAGATATATTCATTCCACAATAAAAAAACATTATTATAATAAAGAATTAAATAACTACAATGAGAATTCGTATGAGCTCCACTTTAACAGTATTTTGATCAATCTCTTATCATGCAGAATTTTGGATTTAAGTGTTTGCTTTATTTATTTGAACTATTATAAAATTAAATCTTTTATTACAATTGATTGCATCCAGATCTTTCTTTAATTTTCAATTATTTTCTATTGCTCTAATTCAATCATCTATTTCTTTGAATCCAAATTTATTAATAATAAAGAAAATTGAATTTTTTAATTATAAAATTATATGATTAACGAAGCAAAATTCGAATTGTTAAAACAAATAGATTATTGGATATAAGATTTGTAAAAATATTAAAAGTAACAACCAAAAAAGATAGAACTATTTAATTTGGAAAGATTGGCAGTATCCATAATATATAATTTTTTTAGATTACAAATATGAATACAACAAATATGGAATAGATTATTAGAAAATATGAGTAATTAAAAATGGAATATTAAGAAATAACCAGCAACCATTCTTAACAATATTAAGATGATACATTTAATGCATTATATATTAAATATTGCAACGAAAAGAAAAGTAAGCAATCTACGGCATAATCATAAAAGAAATCTATAACTACTACTTGTACTGTTTAAAATAAAGGTAGAAGTTCAAATTAGAATGTCAATAGGAACAAAGATTAAAAAATGACTAATTAATAATCATCTATTTAACCTAACTAAATCATTGATGAGTACATTGATGAGATAGATTATTACGCTGATAAAGTCATCCATTTGCAACATAAGATAGAGTAGCATTCTCATGATGAATTGTTAAGTCAGTTAAAGTAGTTGGAACTAGAACAGGAGAGTTTGCAGTCTGATTACAATGCAATCATAGAGGAAAACGAAAGATTGAAGTTAGAGATCTAAGACAATCATTAGAGAGTAAATGAATTGAGAGAATTATAATTATAATTGATTGATGAATTCAAATAATTTAATTGAATATGGGTAATTAGAACACAATCGATAATGGTATCAAGGCCTTCATAAAATAAGAGTTCGATAGAGTTAAGAGTGATAATCAAAGGCAACATCTTAAAATATCTGAAGTGTTAAAACTTTAACACCCAGATAATTCTCCATTTACATTTGCACATCTTGGAACTCTCTATGTGTTAGATAGTAAGCGTACAGGTTTTATCACGATTGATCAATTGTTTCACTTTGCTTAATATTGTGTAAGAAATCTCAAAAATATTTAAACCTATGAATTTTAATCTTAACTTTAAGGATTGTGCACATCTGTTTTATGGGATGATATTTGCAAATATGGCATAGATCATGTCAACGATTGGTTTATACGTCTTTTGACTACCAATGATACTGTAATTCCATATAAAAATCATCTGTTTATTAAACTAGAAACTGTATAAATACTATACGAAGTACCATATTTTATAATATATTATAGTTATCAAATACCAAAATTATGTCAAATATAGATATTTAGTAATTTGTTGATCTATTACAATAAGCTGGTGAAGAAGCTGGACTCATGTCTATAGATCAAGAAGAATTAGATGAGTTAGTTCCTTTGGAAATCTGCAGTGAATTTATTAAAAACTTTTTAAATGGATTCAAGGCATTGATGCTAGAAATTGGATTTTCAAATAATGGAAAGTGATAATTATAATATGTAATTTATCTAAAAATATTTATGATTAATTAAAAATAAATATATTATTATGAACAATTATTATATCAAATCTTTATGAATGTTCTAAATTCCAATATAAATTAAACAAAGCCATGAACTATGAATAGATATCCATTAATAATGTCTTTAATATTTTACTTTTCACCTTCGTCCCCCCCTTCCAGAGCAGTTCGCTCATTACTTCTATTGTCAAAGGTTGTATTTTCAGGGAAAATTGTGGATTTAACGAGAGGGGAACACAAAACTCCTGAATATCAATACATTAACCCTAATTAATCTTTACCAGCACTCGTCGATGGACCATTAAAACTGTTTGAAAGCAATGCCATCCTGAAATATATATCCATCAAAAAAGAGTTGACTTAATTTTATCCCAAGGTATTACATCTTACTAAGCCTATAAGCACATCCTGAACAGAGCAAGAGTTGACTGCTATTTAGATTGGAGTCAAACAGGATTAGAGCCCATAGGGACATATGCCAATGAATGTTACCTATTTCCGATGATGATGAATAAACCTGCTCCATAAAACAAAGAATAAATGTATCAAGATACAATATCTACTCTTAAATTCTTTGAGTCAATTTTCTTAAAGGGAAGATACATTTACAACCAACCATCAATGACAATTGCTGATTTAAAGTACTTATAAATATGTAAGACAGGTGTGTTGCTGATTTGACCCAGCTCTTATTGACTGGCCTTGATTTCAACCAATTCCCAAAAATTAGAGACTATCTATAAGAAATGTTTTCGATTCCAGAAATTAGAGAGGCATATGCTGAATACTTAGATATGATTAAATCTACTAAACCTAATGATTCGATATCTTATATCATCAGTGGAATTGACAAAAGATCCAATTGGCAAATCAATTTATATCACCATCCTTTGTCCTCACCCTCCAGAGCCTGCAGAACAACCTTATTCTATAGTGGAATAGATTTTATAGAAAAAATTTTGTTTATTTAGAAAGGAGAAAATAGAACCCCTGAATTCTTAGCTATTAATCCCAATGGGTCTCTCCCTGCGATCCAAGATGGCAATTTATGTTTATTTGAAAGCAGTGCCATAATGAAGCACTTTGCTCGCAAATTTAAATTATATAAGCTTTACTCTTTCAACTTATAAGCCAAAGCCAAAACTGATGAGTATTTAGACTTTCATTTGACTGAGATGTAATCAATTAATAGATATGCCTCTTCCTGTTTCATTGGGCCTGCTTTTTTAAAGTTGCCTGTTCCTCCCAATAAGGCTTAATAATAAAAAGATGTCGCAACCACTCTTGAATTCTTTGTAAAGACATTTCTAAACAAAGGCAATTGGGCTTACATAAATGGATCACCAATACCTACTTTTGCTGACATCAGAGCTTGCTGTGATTTAACACAATTATTCATAACGGACTTTCCTTTTGAATAAATTTTAGGCTTGGATACTTATCTCTAAAGAGTATTCTAGATGAATGAGATGAAAAAATCTCATAGTGAATACTTCGACTTTTTATAAAGCTAAAAGATAGGTAAGTTTGCTTAACACTTTACTTAAATACAAGAACAGGTTAGATATAAGGAAAAATTGACTTTATACTTTAATTTTGTCTCCCCTCCTTCTAAAGCAGTAAAGTCACTACTAAAATTGGCATAAATATCTTATACTGAAAAGGATATTGATATATAAGGAGGAGAGAATACAAGGCCTCCTTATACGAATATTAATCCAAACTAGAGTCTTCCAGCATTAAATTTTGGAGAATTTAATTTATTTGAAAGTCATGCAATAATGAAATTTATTTGCATTCAATTTAATTTGACCGAATTTTATCCCAATTATCCGCTTAGAAGTTTAATAGATTCCTTTTTAGATTTTCATCATACGGGTTTCAAATAATTGACTTTATATTCAATGGATTTCTTTTTTGGTCCAAAATTCATGAAAAAATAAGTGCCTTAAAATATAGACGAAAGAACCAGAGAGATAAATGAATTACTTCAATTTTTTATAGAGACTTTCTTAGGAGGAGGACATTACAAGTATATCATGGGATCCAGAACTCCAACAATTGCAGATTTGGCGTAATTTTAATATTTAAAATAGATTCATAGCAGAGATTTCTGGTTTATTTTTTGTTGATTTTGATTTTACTCCCTTCCCTTCTATAAAAAGTTATTTAAGAAATCTATTTGAAATGAGGCACATTAGAGATACATATAGCAAGTATTTCTTGGTAGCAAGATTTATGACATCATCAATGAATAATTATATTGCTTCCATCATAAAGGGTACAAAAGAGGGAGAAAGTGCATGTTGCGAGTTAATTTGAAATAATAATTATGAATATTATTTAGAATTAGCCATCATCCAATTATAAACTCTTCTATTAAGGAGGTATTAACGAATGATTAATATCTTATTCTTTATCAAAAACTTAATTCATTCTAATGTAATACTGAATATTAGAACTATTCTTGAAAATCCATAACTCTCCTAAATTACTCTCATTTTGTTATGTTAGATAGATAATGAATATGATTAACCAAATAAGTAATCAAATTGTTGAACTGATAATAATTAGTAAGAACTTCAGACTTGCAACCAAAATAATATTGTTGATTACTTGTTCCTGTAGTCATAAACTACTAATGATTAGTTCAATAATTCTGGCTTTTCTTGAGCTTTTGGTCATTGAAACTACACTTAATATCCTATCTTAATTCGATAATAAGAGTACTTCTTCACCTTCTATATTTGGTTTTAGACATAATGACAATAGGTTCTGGTAAGACGACTTTCTTATTAGGTTTAGGATTTAATTGGTCTCTAACTATGGATTGACAATTGTAGAAATCAATCAATATACTTTATTTATAATATTCAAGGCAAATTGCAAAATGTATATTCAAAGTTATCATAATCAATTGTGATAGCAGCAAAAAGAATTAGGCATTTGTCTTAAGAAGTGCATTGAAGTGGGAATTCTACTAAAAATTTATCAGCCTTGCTACAATATTCTTATGCGCAACCATTAAAAATATTTCTAATTCTTCCTACTTTCTATTTCATAGGGTTATAAATGTCATAGTCAATGTATTAACAAGGACCCGTACACCTTGGTATGGCACACATTCTAGTAACACAACCGCATTGAACAAATTCTCCAGAAATGAAATACCTTGTATTGCCTGAGGGGTCACAAATATCAATCTCCTCAAGGATTGGTAATGGGCATCTAGATATAGATGTGATAAGTTACTCCGATCTTCCACAACACATGAAGGGTTACTTGAGATATCCTATCACTTCAGAGTCACGAGACACAACCATTTCCGGTCTCTCACATGGTAAACATAAAACTGAAGGAACTTTATAAATTCCTAAAATATAAATTTTGCCTTACGTTGTGCTTTGAACATGATTTGATTTTGATTGTTGATGAATAATAGATCTAGAGCTCTCCAGCATTAACAAAAGAACCTTTGAGCACATTCGGATTCCTCTTATATAATTCCAAGCTACTATTACGCAAGGTGTCCTGTTTGTTCAGAGACTGAAATTTGATAACTGTTTTTCTTTTCCCCAATGCATGGACATATGCATTCTACGCAGCTAATGATTATTGTCGATTCCTTACTCTGGTTTTTGATTAATGAGCATATAGTTCACTCCTGCAAATGGCTAAAAATAATATACTTTCCTTACATCGGCCGTGAAAAACTAAGCTCCATATTATTGTATTTGTCCAGCTATAGCATTTCCGATAGCATTTCCTAATGCTTATGGATTTGGTACTGCGCCATATTAAACTTGCATTTGATAATTTAATTAAAATTAAATAATAGTTTATAAATATAATATCTATTATTGATAAAAGTTGGAATTAAAAATATTTTTAATAAAAGATAAATATGAGTTAAGAAATTTTCGTAAGTGATGATGGCAAAATAAAATTATTAAATGGAGCTGAATAAGGAATCAGATTAGTAAATTCTCAAACCAGACAAGTCTTGACATAAGTATTACTCTAATTTCTAAAGATAGTCACCAGTAGTTGAATTTTCATCATAATAAATCAGGACTTAAGAAGACGCTCCAATTCTGTCGACTTAATAATTGCCTCCTCACAGAATCTAAAGCCAAAAGGTCTTGAGATAAAACATCTCGATTCCTTAGGTCTCCTCCTATCCAGGCACTTACAGTGTTCAACAAAATTGCCAACAAGCTCCCCCACTTTGTATGAACATTGTAGTTGTTTCAAAGGAAGAAATAGAAACTCCATGGAGATTAGAATGCGAATATCTTTAGTCAATTATTGCCGATTTAGAAAGAAGAAAGGAAGCAAAAGTTGTTGAAAAGGAAGTAGTCAAGGTTGTCACTGACAACACAAGAATTGAAACACTAGAAGCTCAGTTACTACAATTAAGGAGAGAGAATGATCAACTTAAAAATTAAATGATGTAAATGCGAAGTAGCTATGAATAATAATTGGAATCCTTAAGAGGAGACATAACCTTACATAGTTCTAATGCTGCAGATGCTGCTTCGTTATAGGCTGAATTCTTTGCCATGAGAACCTAATTGGAAGATTAGATTGCAGGATTGAGAAGATAAATTTCTGATCTAGAACTTCAATTAAGTTAATCATAACAAGAAAACGATAGACTCAAACAATTGCTTCAAAATAAGGATGGAGAAATCCAACAACTCAGATTATAAATATCAAGATTATAAACTAGTGCTCAAGACACAAGTCAATTAAGAGATTTAGAAAACCAATTGAGATTATCTAAGGATGAGAATTCAAGACTTGAAAGATTGTTATAATAAGCCAATCAAGATATCTTGAATTGGAAAAACAAATGCACACTTATTGAGTAGGAATCCTATACTAAAAATAATGAACTCATTATGCAAATCAGAGATTATGAAGTAATAAGCTACTGATTTATTTAGAATAAACTAGCTCTGATATCTACTGATATTGAAAGGTTGCAAATTCAAATCAGAAATAAGGATGCCGAATTGAATGAGTGGAGATTGAGATATACTGAATTAGAATCTTAGGGAACAACTGTTATTTAAGAGAAAGTCACTTATCTATCTTAGGAAGTTGAAGTTTGGAAGTAGAAGTTCATTAAAACCAATCATGAATACAACAAGTGCTAGGAAGAATTGACTATGTGCTAAGCAGAATTAGAATCTCTCAAGAAGAGTGGATCAAAGAGAGTATATCACATTTTCATATCTAGGAAGTTGTTGTAACTCAAAGAACTGTTACATCAAGAGCTGGCAATACTTTAACTGTTACTGGGCCTACTGGATCATAATCTTAAATTAAAAGAACTGGCTTCTAGGAATGATTATTCATTTTATCTAAGTACAATCATAAATATCAATAATCCACTTATATCATCAGTTTTATATCTACTTTCTTGATTTCAATTTCAATAATAACCTAAATTATTTGTTTTGTGAATTTTTATAAAATAATGTTAATACTATAGGGGCCTTGCATTGTAACATAATAATCTTAATTGATAAACAACACTAAATTCAACTTTTTTGGAATAATTGGAGCTCTCTTTTTTTGAATATTTTTAGCCATCCTAATCCACTTTAGTATGTGTCAAGTAGAATAAGGGAGAGAGGAAGTTTAATTTGTTAATTTTTATATTAGAAGAAAAGTGGGAATTGAGAAATTGTCAATCCTTTTTAGAATCAACTTAGTGTTAGAATTTTCTTAATAACCCAAATAAATATCGACTTGATGTTTCAGTTTAAGGTACGGAATAGTAAATTTGAATTTATTAAGAATAATGGATTGTCATATTAGAATTTATAGCGAAGACTCAAGAGTAAATCAATGATTGCTTCAAGTTGAAATATTATACATATAAAAAAAAGATACTTCGATTGATAATTTATATATTCGAAACATGCATAAAATATTTCAAAATAAGAGACCAGCTTAACTAATATGATAGATGAATTATTTACTGTTTTCTCCATAATTGAATAATTCCTGTACATGCCATCACCGAGTTGCATATCATTAACATATATTATCTTGGTGATAAAACCCAGCACCATCTAATGAATAATTTAATGCAATACCTTGCAATAAGGGTTCCTGTTAACGTAATAACCGATTATTAAACAGGGTTTATTGTGTCAACAGGCTTTTTCATCATGTCATTGATATTTGCTATTGATATTCCCCATTTTGCTAAAGGACAGTAAAAGAAGATCGTAAAAGGTCCTTTTTCAGCCTAAAACCATCTAATCATGAACTATGGCCAAAATGTCTAGGCACATACAAAAGCTTATAACTATTTTATGGGACCCATTAAATTTTTATAAGAATTATTAAAATCTTAATACATTTTACACTGTTAAACAATGCAACTTTGAGTATAAGAAAATACCAAACAAGATTAAGATGAGAATATTTATTGTATTATATTGCCTTTAGTGATATTTTAAAAAAATATTTATTTTTGAATTTTTATATTCAATTATAACCATATATTTATTATTACAATCAATAATACTATATATATACAATTCTAAAAATGAGACTCAAAATAATATTTTCTTAATTTATTAGAATTCCATCGTCATAAGTCCCAATAATATGGAGGATAATCTAAAATTTGTGTCTCTCATCTGAGTAGTTAAGTGAAAATAAACCTTATTATAAGATTTTCTTTATTGTCTGTTTATGATATAATATCTATAGTATAGTAGTTTAATTAAAAAGGAATACCTGAGTTATTTCTGATTCATAATTAAATACAAGATAGCTTAGATTTTTTTCTATAAAAGGATATATAAAACTTAAAGATATTATATCGTTTATATAGTGACTTTATATAGCATTTTAATTAAGAGAAAAATTATTAATTAATTAATGTTAGAATCTTTTTGCTACATTCCCTGAACTATTATTTTATTTTTAGTTTTTTCTGCCTATTTTATTAATATTAGCAGAATTGAATATTTATTTTTATATGAGTTAATCACATTTTAATATCTGGACGAATATTAAGGTTTGTGAATAGTAATATGAAATTTTATTTAAGAATATATGATTTGATATAAATTTTTATCATTGCTTGGTGTTTGAAAATAATGTTATCTTCTTAAATTATATTTTTTTTATTAGACTTCAAACAAAGACCTATAAAAAAAGACATAGATTTTTATGTAAAAATAAAAAATAAATAATTTTAAAAGAAAAATCCTAATTCATTTATTAATCTATAAAAAATCATTCATATTATGATTAGAATCAAGCACTAATATAGATTTGAAGTAAAATTTAAATTGATGAAATAAATAATACACTATGTATTACATATGTTTAAATTAACTAATATTCATTTTATTCTTTCAAAACATTTTGAATTTATATCCAAGTAGAGAACTTGCATTTATATGTCAGTTGTTCGTTTTAAAATTCTTGTCAGTAACTCTAATCTAAAATTGCAAATTTTTGTTATCCTTTTTTCCATAAATTTGGTGGACAAAAATAATAATAGCAATTTACATAAAATATAATCGATTACATTGGATCTTCTCAAAACCCAAATTGAAAAATCTTATTTTATATATTAAAATATATCATTTGTAACTATATTATTTATTGAAATCAAGATCCGTATTTGTTAATTCACTTAATTATTTGAATAAAAGTTAACATGAATCTCTAAAAATCTATTAATAATTTTACATAATTTCTGAACCATTGGCAGATAAATTTGGATATACTATACTAAGATTCTTAGGAATAGCTTCAGATTCTATATATATATGTATTATTATTACTTGGGGTACTATTTGAGTATGGAGTCAAGAAGTTCAACTGCCTTGAGACTGGATCTCTTTTAACCAGTTTTTCTGGAGTTTTGTAATACATAATTCTCCTCTAAACTTATCTTCTTGGTACTCCTTTAATTTGAGTCTCATCCTATCTAGGTAAGACTTATAAATCTTCCCATCTATTTTACATCTTCAATCTTCTTTTTAAAGTACTGTTCCAATGATTTTTGATTGAATTGTCAGTTCTTCCTTTCAATAAACCTGCTATTAATGACCATCTGTTTCCTAGTTTTTTATGTGCCTCGATTATGGTTTAATCTTCTTCATCAGTCCATCTTTCTTTATTGATTTTTGGATCTAGATGATTATGGAACCTACATTAATTCTAAACTAAATACCTCTCTCTACATTATTTACCTATTCTGCCAGGTAAATGCTTAGCAATTTAACTCCAATTTTTTGGCCCACAATTGGTTACTAATTTAACTAATAGTTCATCTTCTTCTTATGTCCAAGGACCTTTAACAAGATCAGGATTAAGAACCTTTTGCCATCTATGTAAACATTAGACATCTGTCCTTTCTTCAAAATATGATGCTATTTTCTTCCAATTTTTGGCACCATGTTGAGTGACTAATTCTTTCAGTTATTAATCTTCTTCTTCTGTCCACCATCTATCCAATTAATATCATTAGTACCTCTTCTTAATAGTCAAAGGAGGGTCAATATTATTACTATTTAGAAGAGTTTCAACTTTTGTTTTAATTTCATTTATTTTATTTCTATTCTTCTTAGGGATTATACTATCTAATTAAGAATAATCAAATCTGGGAGACGAAATCGATAGATCTTTGTCCTCCTTTATTAATTATAGAATGTTTGATTATAAGGTTAGCAATTCCAGTTCTTTGGCAGATGGCTTAGTATTCGCAAGTATAAAGTCCATGTCAATTGGATTTTATTGGAGCAGATCTTTCAAAAATGTAATGCACATATTCTTTTCCATCAAAGGAAGAGTATATCCATTGAGTTCAAATTGAGTTATTAATTGGTGGGTACCTCTCATTAAACAAATAAAAAAATTAATTAAAAGATAAGAGAGTAGTGTTTTTTAACGAATTTGATAAATTTTATTAATAAATATCCAACAATTTAATTATCTATTATAAGATAGTAAAGATTTAAATATTTATTTTTTCTATCTACCACCCCTCCCTATTAATTAATTTATTGTCCTCTGTATTTTAAATAGATAGCTTAAGTTAGAAATCAATTGAATATCTATTATAACAATCATCATTATATTTTATATAGTATGATTTATGTGCATATTGATATTGGGTATGTAAAGATAATTGCAATCTTGCAATAATAAAAATTCCCATAATAAATAAATTATAAATTATTTCAAAAATATAAAGTTAACTTAATTAAATTATCTAATGATGAGAATTTCTGATTTTAATGATAAATGATTAATAAATCGATTAGTCTTTTCTGAAACATATATATACATGCATTTTTATGTGCAAATCCATAATATTTGTTAAAGTTGGATTCTTTCAAATAATTGAAATAAATTAATTAATAATGCTTTTTGAACCTGATATAATGAATAGGTATCAACAATTCTCAACCTATTAAACATAAAACATGAAGGTGATGGAAGTTCTTAACACTGCACTTTTTGAAAGAGCATTATTGGAAGGCTCATATGCTTAAAGTTTGGATCAATTAGCTAAAATATTAGATCTTAATGAAGATGGCATAATAAATGACGACATAATCGACATAGTCTAAGCTTATAGGAGTGTAATTTTATGCGAAAAGGAGTAAGCTGAATACTTGAAGGAATCTTATAAAAACGATGCTTTGGTTGTATTGAAAGACCTGCTCGCTAAATAACATGATGGAGTTTCAAAAATCGAGAATACTTGCAGACTCTTAGATAAGCAACTCAAATCTAATGTCAATAATTTATCTAGAAGAGCCAATCGATATAAATAAAGCATCATTGATTTGCCTTTTGCTAAAACCGATTCAATTAGAACAGCTTTAGAATAAGAAAAACAATAAAACAATATATTCTTAAGATAGGCCATAACAGATTACAATCAGACAATAAGCGAATACTTTGAAGGATGTGCTTAGCAAGAGTAGATAGTGATTCAATTAGATAAATAAAGAAGAGCTGTATTCAATGATATTCAAATGAAGTTGTAAGTCTTTCATATCTCAACCATCAAAAATGTAGAATATGCACTCAAAAAAATGAATTAAGTAAATATGTATAAAAAAATAGAAAATAGAAGCTCAAGAAATATCAAAACCTATTTTTATGTTTAAAATAGAAGATTAGACAAGACCAGTGTTGAATAAATTTAATATTAATGATTACATTATGTAAACAGAAATGGAAATTAGGAATTAATAACCATCTTTAAATTTGAAATCAAAATAGGCTACATAAGGTAATATGATATCTAATTTAAGAGATAAAGTCATTGTGGTCCTCAATCAAGAGAACTATAAATCGTGATAGCTCTTATGATTCAGTTTTTAATTCATTGAGTTAATCAAATTTCGTAGTTAATGATCAATTGTTTGCAAAGTTGGCAGGCTCAAATGAAGAACTTGATTAATTTTTAGATTCATTAAGAGAATCTAAGTTACCAATGGATGCAAAATCATAATTGATAAAGCTAAACATTTATATGCAGAACCTCCATAAATTATTAGTTGATTTAATTCATTATGTAATTGATTTTAAGAGAATTAGTTATATCATCGGAATCTAACTGAGTAAACCATAAAGTTAATTAAGTAAACATTACAAAAGTACCATACATTCCCAGTTCAGGATGATTTAAAAGATCAAATTACGTTATATTATGATAACATACTGAAACAACCTTGTTTGATGGATGTTGAATTTTGGAAGAGACACTTTATTATAAAGCTGCATGAACAATAATAGGTGGATTCATAAAATGAAGTAAAGAAACATGAAATTATTGCCGAAATTAAATTTTAATCTTCAAAACTCCTATAACACAGTATCAATCCAAGTGTCATCATACAAGCAGTTTAGAAACTAGAATTAGAACAAGATGAGATCGATCAAATAATAAATCATATCAAAATGAAGGTTGATGAGAAGTGAGAAGAATTTAAAATAAAAAATATCGTTTTTAATGTGAATATATTTATCATTGGATGATTGCTAAAAAGACTGCCAATGAAGCCAATAGATAAGGACTACTTGAATCTTCAGATTCGTCTTCTTAACAGGCGACACAAGTATCATTGTCCCAATAATATCCACCGTCTGTATTCTTTGAACAAGTGTCTTGAGTAAAATCTGTAACATCACTTCTGTCTCCACATTTGCTAGTTGTTTTATCCCATTTACATAATGTTTAAGCACCGAAGATACCATCATTAGCTACGGTACATAATGCTTCACTTGTAAAAGAAGAGCAGGTGAAAGCCTTACAAGCAGTTCCTGAGGCATCACATCCTAAATCTGCACATACATCCATAGGTGCACCAGTGCAAGTGTCTGTGCTGAACTTTTCACATTTATTTGTAGTTGTATTCAACCAGCAGAAATATGAATCACTTATAAAATTATTGCTGCAGCCAGCAACAGTAGCGGGTAAAGTTGAGCAATCTGAAACAGCTGTGTAGGTGGAACAAGTGTATTTTCCATTTGCATTTGGAGTTAAAGATGCAGCTGCACAGTTTCCTTTTTGGATCATACATAAAATTGGCTTAGCTGCTTCATAAGTGGAACATGCTTTTGAGTCTTCACAAACTCCAGAGTTATTTATTGTGCAAGAATCAAGAGTATCGCAAACATCAGTTGATACGTCCTTACATGCCTTCTTTGCGCAGGCAGTTCCCCAAACACAGTCAACAACATTGTTGCATTCAGTTTAACTTGTGAATTCTGTACAATCGCACCAAAAATCTGCTGTTAATGCTCCGTATGTGCCAACAGCCAATATTGTTATGAAAAACAATTTTTACATTAATTTTATTAATGGAACTTGCAAATATCATTTCGTTTTTGAATTATGACAGGTAAATCACTTTATTAATTAACAGTAAATTAAAACCAGTGAATAATTTTATAAGTACATTTAGTATTAAAAATATCTATTGAAATTTGTTGTATCATTACATGCACTCAATACTATTTGAAAAGAGTATCTTATTAATATGTTTTTTCATAAATTAATCAGATTTCTTCAAGTTAAGAATTGTCACTTATACGAGTAAAACGCTCTTTAAATGATTTTATTTATATAAGATTGTAGAGTTACATCTAATTAGATTGTAAATTAAATTTATTTCTTATAAAAAATGAAAGAACAATTGTTTCTAAAATGAAATATAAATTCATTATCTTTTCAGGAGAAAATTAAATTCTGTGTCAAATAAATCAAATTATTTGATAATTACAAAATATTGTTGTCGATTATTACTTATTCATCTCGTTTTTTAATTATTGATTCTCAAAATATACTTCGAATTTTATGAATTAATTTTTCATTCCTTTTTTAATTAATACACAGAGAAGACTTAAATGAATAAGGAGGAATTTATAGTCAATCCTATTTATATAAAACATAAATAATAAGGTTGTTTGAATCACAACCTAAAATAAGTTCAGTTCAATTTTAAGTTTTAAATTGAAGAATTGGCGCTCAAATTTTTTAATAAAAATAATTAATAAATAATATTTACATTTACTCCTTCTTCATTAGGCCTTTACTAATTTTATTATAGCTTTTTCTTCATAAAATCACTTATTTATTTAAACAAACTTCTTAAACCAACTAATTCTAAAGAATACTCTTTTGAAAGACATCTTAATCAATAGTTATATATGATGAAAAATAATAGATAATAAGTTTTCTTGATAGAAATATTTTATGAATAATTCTGCTATTATAAATTTGTTTAATTAGAATGTAAATATATTAGTAGGACCAAGGGCAGAAAATCAAGAATATTAAAATTAAATAAAGAGATAAACAGACTAATAAATTTTGAATTCATTAAGTAATTGTCATTAAAATTAAATTATATAAAGAATCTAATCAAATTTTGTCATATGATAAGGATTCAATCTAAGATAATATTATATAGAAATCATAAAAGAATTCTATCGAATGTTCTACAAAATAATAGATATATCATTTTAACAGCGAAAATCTTAACAATTAGAGATATTTAATGAAAATGTTTCTTCCTTGAATCTAACTAAAATGATATGATAATTTAAATTTAGTATTGATAGAGCATTTTAACAAGATTAGATTTTACTAACAGGTGATGATAGTCTGTCTCAGTGAATATTTTACTTTTATTTTTAAATTCTTTACTAAATTTAACTAAGCTAGAATGAATTGAATTAATAAAAAGAAGAATAGAGTGACCATTTTGAAAAGTTCCACCATCTTTCCAATTTAAAATTAGAATATATTAAGAAAGTTCGATGATATATGGCCAAAAATAATTATTTGGCCAAGCTTGGCAAAATTTATTTCAACAAAGTACTTAGCTATAATTTGCAATCATCCATCAATAAGTAAGTCATGGCTTATTATGGATAGGAGGCTAAAGCATAAAAAATGCTCTACAGTTTATGGGACTTTATGAGAAGCAGCTATACAAGGTAAATTTTTTGAAAATTCTCAGAAAATAAGCAAAGTAGATATCCTAAAGATTAGAAAGCATCAGAATTCTTTTTTGATTGATGAGTTTTCAAATGAAGGAGTTATAAAACCATGGTTTCTGATTTTTATCATTCCATAATCTTTTTTCATTTATTACATCTGTAAATTCTGAAGTGGAAATATATTTAAACTTTTCGCTCATTTTTGGAAAGAAAATATTAAATTTTGTTTTCACTTCAAAGATAGTTTTATTTATCTTTATTACAAATTTAAGGGTCACATTAAATTTATTAATTATCAAAATTGTTTGTGAATTACATTTATATAGGTTTTTATTTTATAGAAACCATTAAATTCTATTATGAAAAAAATAATTAAGAAAAAAAGTATTTATTACAAATTAGAATTTGAGTATTTTTTTCTTTTTAAAATAGAAGAATCAGCAGACCATTTTGGACACCCAATTATAATAGATTATCATATCAAAAAGTTATTTTGCTAATTTAAAACTAAATTAGTGTTATTATTAATTAAATAATTTCATGAGTTACGATGGTGCAATAAGTAAGAGATTAACTATTGCAATCTAATAAAAGCTAATTAGGATGCTATGGATTGAAAATATTTATAATAAGTAGAAATTTAATTCTGAGTACTATAAATTTGAAGATTATTAAGAAATATAGAAGTAATATAAATAATTAAGTATCTATATATATTAATTTCGCTAAGTAATAGCCGAATTATGTTGAATTTTCAAATTGGTTCAACCATTTATATTCAAAGTAGGAAGATTCTCTAACTGATAAAATTATTTTGAATTTTAAGTAAACTTAATTGCAATCAACTGAGATTAAGATGAGGCTCTAGTTTTAAGAATGTTTACAGTAAGAATAATAATTTAGTAGTTCGCTTCACTATGTCATAATACTACTTGAAATAATTTATTTTTTCTAATTAAAATGGTATAGAGAATGTAAGTCGAAGTCTAATTAATTTTCAAGAATTTATTGTGCAAAACTAATTATATAGAATGTTTAAGGATGAATACTTTTAAAGTTCATTCTATTCTTTTATTGGCACAATAACAACAAAAAATATTTTAGAAATATTAATGTTCCAAAGTTTAAAATTAAATAAAGATTGAAGGTTGTCATTTTCTTGTTATCAAAATCTGAATAGGAAGATAGGAGAATAAATTTAAATATTAGTCTCTTTACAATTATGATTTAATGATTGAGAAGTGAATTACTAGGTAACAATGAACCTATAATTTATGTTAAAATTCTTTCAAAAATTGATAATAATAATCTAGAATAATAAATCACTTAATAATGAATGAGTAGTAATCATTTAAACTAAGGCATTTGGTGAGGCTTAGTTTAGTTTACTTTCACTGCTTGATGAACAGGATTATTGAATCTACAATGTAATTATAAAGATATACTAGATATTATCTAAAGTAGAATCTTCTTTTTGTTCAAATATTGTTTGCTAGAAGTAAGGATGCTATAAGCATTGCGTAGCAGTAGGTCGTAATTTTGGATCCTTTTGAAGCATCAATAGAACTAAATCATAAGCTTAAGGAATTTTAGTTTTTATGAGTTCCAAATGAGTTAGATCATAGTCTGCAGAGATATTCTTCAAAAGCAATGTTTAAGGGTTTTTGGAAGACCCAAAAGGATTCTTTAATGTCAATCTAGAATTAATATAGGATTTACAAATTAAAGAACATTACACCACAGCTAAATATGTCAACCTTGGTATCATATATGTTTTATGTGAACACTTCAGGAGCTGTGTAACCTGGTGTTCCACATCTATGGATATTGTAGTTTTATTATAATACCTTGTATTATAATAAGGGATTTAACTTTTGTGACATGCCAACCCGAAGTCTGCCAATACTAGACTGCTGATATCGTTTGGTATTCTAAGTAAGACATTCTAAAGCTTGATATCTCGATGCAGTATATCCAGTTAATGAAGATGCTAAACAACTAAATAATGGACTTTTTTTTATAAATACCACTTAATAATTTTTTCATCACCAATTGATGGTCGATATTATAGTTATTTTGATTCAAATGCTTAAGAAAGTCACCTCCAGGGCAGTATTCAAGTAGTATAGACAAGGAATTACCGTCACATGAAATCTCCTCCAATTAGATTATATTTGGATGAGGATGATCCCTTAGATTGTTTAGAATCATCTATTCCTACTTTATTTATTCCTTGTGATTATATGAGTTTTTATACAAAACGTGTAAAATTAGAATTGTCTGATGACACATGGGGAAGGTATGCCATCTTCTCGACCATATAGTTATTGGTTCCTTCTATCTGTAATAAAACTAGGATGATAATTATCAGATACAAATATTGTTGGCTATACCATTGATTCTTTTAAAACAGGGCTTTCTTTGGAACAGTACTTTCCCACGGAGAAGGCGCTCCAAATTCTGTAAATTTAGTAAGTCAATGTCAATAGTAACCTTAATGTTTCTGTCAATGCTTTCTAAGTCCATCGTTCCTGTTTTGTTCACTCATAATTAGAGATGAAAATACCTTCGTTTACTGAGCGAAACCATGTTAGTACGCTGTCTATAGTCCCACGCGGAATGAAAGCTATTTAGGAATCTGTACTTGTCATCTATTTAGGTAGATTTGATTTTACATTTATGGTCAAACCCAAGTGGCTTGCACTTAGGAAAACTTCGTGTTTAGATTATTCATTTGCTATCAAGTATCCATTACAATTAAAAAGCATGAAGGTAAAAATGTTTAAAAAATTTAAGTAATTTAAAATATCAAATTTGCTTATTATTTTTAATGACCCCTATAAGCCCCATGCAGTATTAACATAATAAAACAACCATTCATGTATTATAATTAAATTGTATTACATCATTAAATTAAAATCTTTATTATTAGAAATAAAAATGATAAACTTAATTAAATAGCAAAATGATTATTCTATTTTTACTTCAAAACCATAAACTCTAATGAAATTCGATCAAATATTTTCAAAGAAAAATTAATAATTTTTATGAGACTAAATTTTCATTATTTATGAAAATATTTAAATTTGGATAACAAATAATTAAAGTTTTGCTTTTTGATAATTAAGGCTAAAGAAAACATACAAATATTTAATTTATGGGCTTAATTTGTTGAATGGATACTAATTATAAATTTAACTAGCAAATCGCTACCTAGATATTTGTAACTGAAGTTGCAGAAAAATAAACTGATAAATGTTCCAATAATTTAGAAATCAACATATTATCTTAATATCTACAAAATCACCAATTAAATATAATTATAAAATATTGAATTATTAATCATTATTATTCTTGTAACAGTTCTTTAATCTTTTAATTAGCCTATTTTTCTGCATAATCCAAAGCACTATTGCCATCTATATTAGGAAATTATAGTACATTTGTCTTTGAGTGTTTTATCTGCATTCTCTGATAATAGGTATTTGACAATAAGGAAATGACTCCCTCTTGTGGCCAAAATCAAAGGGGTAAATTTATTTCCATAGGTCTATTCATTTATCGGATGATTCAATGTCACTAATTTTCTAACTGTATCTAAGTCTCCATCTCTAGCAGCACTCCATAATGCTAAATTTAGAATTTATTTAAACTCTTGAATGCAAACTTCACTTCTGAATCCGTGGTCATTTAATCAGCTGTTTAACCTTTGCTTGTTCTCATAGCACAGTACCGATCTTCATCCGCATCATACCTGCTTAATAAGTGAACCACATTTCTATTTTGATAAAACGATGCATAATGCAAAGGAGTCCAATCTCTTTTATCAACTGAATAAATATTTGCTCCTGTTTCAAATAACACTTTAACAACTTAATCATGGCCTTTTTTGGCTGCTAAGTGCATTGGAGTGCAATTTTGGTTATCCTGAAAATCAACTAAACTTTCTTAATTGGCTATTCCTGTCTCTATTAGCAATTGAACAGCCTTTGCTTAATTGTTTAGAGCTGCTACATGAATTGGATAGTATCCTTTATTAGATGAGATCTATTGATATGCTCCTCTTTCTATCAAAGTAGTTATTGCCCATAATTCCCCATAGAAGGCAGCATGATGTAATGGAGTCCATCCATTAGTGTCTATTACATTAACATCAGCATCCATTTCTAAGACTTTGTTTAACATGGTTTTATTGGATGATTTATAAGTTTATTCGATTGCCTTATGCACAGGAGTTATCCCATAGATGGTTGATTTTCCATTCACTCTTTACCCACAATTTACTAATAATGTAAAACTCTTATCATCTCCTTCATTAACTGCATTATTTAGATCCATCAAGTATTTTCTCACAGAATCATTTGATGCATATTCCAAGGGAGTTCTTATTTTTCGTTTGCATTTTATTTTTGGATTTGCTCCCAATTACAACATAAATTGAATTGCTGCAAAGTCCCCTGCAAAAGAGGCCAAATGCATAGGTGTCTTAAATTATATTTAATTTTACATATCCATCACTATCTTATTAATTAAGAATATCTTTTTATAGCTTCTTAATATTGCTCATCAAATTAGTTTGTTTTTGTTAAAGCAGTTATGAATTTAAGAAATTGCATATAGTTTCACGATATTGTTTGTATTGTCTTGGATCAATCTTACTTTCTGTTGTTTACACCAACAATTAGACTTCCATAAAAATATCATAAAATAAATCCCATCCTTAAGTTTCAAAATCAAATTATGCCAATTGTCTAATACATTAAAAACATTTAGTATATTTGGATAGACTACCATAATGTATAGCATTTCTTTGAAATTGGTCTAATGTAGCATTGACTCTGCTAAAATATTGTAGATTTTAATCCAAAAATTGTTAATATTATTCGCTAACAACTGCTTGGAATTATTAGAATCTTTATTGGACTTGTTTTAAATGTTTATCTGCATTTATCAATTACCCTTTTTATGAGTCTGATTTTTTGATTTGATGCTTTTTCATTGTTATTTTCAATTCCTCCCATTTAGCCATATTTTATCTATGTTTAAACATTTAAAAGAGTATTTGAAGACATTCCAAATTACCTCTTTAAGCACAAACATGAAATACAGTAAATCCTGATTTAGATGTTAGAAATGGATCTGCTCCTTTCATAAGCAAATACATCACAATATTTTTGAAGTTATAATAACTTAATATTATAATTGAAATACCAAGCATAAAATAAAGGTGTTTTACCTTCAGAATCTTTTGAATTTATGATTTCCTCAACATTATTGAATTAATGCATCCAACTCTCAAGAAGAGTCAACTTTCCATCAATTACAAAAGCAAAGATATCTGGCTCTTTTTATTTATGATTAGCAATATTAAAAATCAATGATTGAGTGAGAAGGTCTTTGTCTTAATCCATAGCTAATGTTCTCGATTTATTTAATATAAATTTATATATGATGTCTGTTACATAATTAATAAATAATAAATTACTTAGTAAATGTTCACATATTGAATTGAATGTTTGTTCTGAACACTTTATGTATTTGATTAGTACTTAGCTATAATTACTAATTCATTTGCTTCTAATTTAAATTAGCGATTGAATTTCCTGCCATCAATTCTTAGCTTCTAATGGAACATTAAGAATTAAAAATTAATTTTTAATCATATCAATTATCATTTTTCTAATTAAAAATTTATTCAATCAAAGAGATATCAATTACATTAATTATTTACAAATAATTATCCATAAAATTGAATGATATATAAATATCCTTTGCGCCTATATTTAATTTTATTTAGAACATAATAAATTTACATATCTAATATCATTTATAAAGTGATTTACAGCTTTATTGGAATTATTGGAATTATTGAAATTAATATAATTAAAACTGATCTAATAATTATTATTTAAAAGAAATTTTCATCTAAAAAATGTGTCATTTAATGTATATATTATCTTTTAAGAAATATGTTGCTAGTTTTTCCATTATTGAAATTTTAATTATAAGTTTGAGATTAAGATAAGGTCAACACTCACAATTAAAATTCAATATTTTTTCCAAAAATAGTTTAATTGTTAACTAGGCAAATATATTATCTTCTGCCATCTGATAGATGATTTTGAAAATTAAATATGAAATAATTATAATAATTTAATGTCATATAGAGAACTTCGTAACTTCTGTGAGTAAATGAGGGCTTTGGGTTATCATAGGATAATTTCAATGGAAAACTTTAGAAGGCCTAATTTTGAGCTTGTGGCTGACATTCTTTTTTGGCTGGCTTAAAAGTATGATCCAAACTCGGATATTTCTGATAATATTGACGAGGAAGTAAAAATAATATTAAAGCTTAGCGACATAGGGTAGAATTTATTAAGCAAATAACAACTCTATTTGTTAGTAAGGCTAGGCTTAAGATAAACCCAAAGAGATTGTATATGGCTGATGTTTACGCTGTTTAAGAAATTTTGAAAATTTCAACATTCTTGTATAAGGCTTAAGTATCCCCACCTGCTGATGAGGAAGAGATTCATGATTTTGTAATTATATCTATGAGTGTTTAAAGTCCCTCCCATCGAAATTAAGTAATATTAAGAGTCATAAGTTATTGGCTCAGGAAATTACTGATCTGGCCACAAGACTGTATGATTAATTAGGAAAGGAGGATGAAGTCAAAGTAGCAAGAGTAAGAACATTATGATAATCCATAGGAAAAAGCTTTGCAATTTTTGTCTAATGTCTCAAGAGGCGGAAATTCACAATCTGAATAATCTTAAATACAGAATTGCATCCAAACCATATTGAAATAGCAAGAAAAAAATATTCAGGAGATGTCCAAATATGTAGGTAATTTAGAGAGGGATCAAAAATAATTGGATGAAAAGATAAAGAGAAAAACAAAAGAACTAGAATAAGCAGAGAAAAGATTAAAGGGCATGACGAGTGTTAAGCCTGCTTATTAGGAGGAATATGATAGATAAGAATACGAATTGGAGAAGTTGTATCAGGTAATATGATTTATGAAACAATTAGATTTATGTCGAGAAATTTAGAAATCTAGTTTATTTGGAGCACGTCTTAGATGCACAAAATAGGTAGGCAGAATTGGAATAAAGGAGGAAGCATGAATAACTTAAAGACGTGAGGGATTGGATTTAGATTGCGTAAGACAAAGAATTAAGAGGGGATGATGATGGAAATGATGAATAGTTAGATCAATTGGGAGGAGATTCCCGATTATAATCAAGTAATAAGGAAAAGCGTAATAATGATTTTATGAGAAATTAATAAGGTGGATTTAACAGATAATAAATGGATGAGGATGGTGGAGAAGACGTAGATGATATTGATGATATAGACGGAGAAGTTGATGACGACGAAGATGGAGAGGATGAAGATGATGGAATTGAGAATTTTGATGATGATAATGAAGCTGACTTTTGAAATAAATTAATCCATTATCTGTATAAATATTATTAAAAATGGGAGTATGTTCAAATAAGAGTAAAGGGTTGAAATACTAAGAAGATGTACTTAATTATACCAAATAGATTAGTAATATTTACATTTATTGGATATTGAAAATCCTGTCAATGTGAATCAGAAATATGCCAATCATTTCACTCTAATTCAAAATTAATTTACTGGTAAAGGCATTAGACGCACTAATAAATACACTACCAATTTATCAAGGAATGAGTGGGAAATGATGCAGAATTAATTTTGGGGTAGAGTAATAAAGTCATATAAAGATAGTTATAAGGATTCAAAATATTGGTCAACCATACGCAAGGCTCTGTCATAAGATGATGAAAGTATGTCTCATCTTTACAATTTAGAATCCTCTATTGCCATATTGACATTTTGCAAATTAAAACTGATTGGTAACACAATCCAATTATTAATTACAGATAGTATAAATATTTTTAATCAAGAACAAGTATTTTAAGTTCCAGTATTTATTATTAATGAACCAATATCTTGGAACAAAGAACCCTTAGTTCTGAATTTTGAAATATCTTAGCTGCAAGTAATCTTTAAAGATATTTAGGTGAGGATACGTAGTAGTAAGCTCCCTAAGGATTTTTTAATCTAAACAGAGAGCACATCAACCGTTCTTGAAATCAAATAGAAGATTTTGGAAGCAGCCAAAGAAAAAACCTGCAGATTATATTTGAATGGTAGAGAGTTGGCAGATCAAAATTACTTGGGAAATTATAATATTACTTCAGGAACAGTACTAAAAATAAATAAGTTAGATAATACAGGCTTTTTTGTGATTATATATTTAAAAATGGTTGGTATTATTTTATATTATGCATAAACAAAAAGCCTAGATTCTGTTCAAATGTCATCAACAACACGAGAAACCTGAATATGAAGAAGCCACTTTTACAATTGCTAAAATTATCGAAATCAATAAATCCACAACAATTATCGAATTAATTTTAGAGAATTGCAAGTTCACATTGGATTGTGACTTTGGCATCTAAATATCATCGTATTTTACCCTTATTAATCTAGATTATAATCATTGATATACTTAGGTTTGAATAACTGCAATCTAGTTTCTTTGCAATATATTCCAAAAATTGAATCATTGAAGCGATTGACTTTAGACTATAATTTTATTCACAATTCTGAACTAATCCACTTAAAATATTACCAAGACAAGCTCTTGTCCTTATCCATTATGCAAAACCAACTAGATTTCTCAGATTAATAATTATTGCGAGAATTCTATTTATTTGAGAAATTAATTCAATTATCAATTGCAGGGAATTTTAAAGATATAACTGAATAAGACAGCATAATGATAAGAAATGAGATATTTAAAAATATGAAAAACCTTGTATTTTTAGATACAATTGCCAAAGGGGAATGTAAGGATTTATACTCATACTTTAGATCTTTCGACTTCTTTGCCAAATTAATTTAATGATTAAAAATAGGAACAAGATTATTTATCAAGAATAGACGTTGTTGACTGGAAACCTGAAAAAGAATACTAGGATGTTGATCAATGAATAATATAACATAATATAGAAATTAATCAAGCTATCAGATTATTATTTATTAAATTATTAAGATTGTAAATATTTAGAATATATATCAAGAAAAGTTATTAAATTTATTAACTATGATTTATTTAAATCAAATATATAAATGAATAACTTGTAAAACAGTTAATGAATAGCATTCTAAACTAGGTGTCCAAGATAATTAATAAGGCTATTCATTTAAAAATTCACTCCTTATCTGTACCCTTCTGGATATGGGGGGTCATAGCACTTTCTTGTTTGCTCTTGCTTACTGTAACCTAATTCATTACAGAAATAAGCTATATATTCAAAATAATCAGTTTAAAAATTTCTTTATTAAAGTAAGATGACTAGATTTTGATTTGTTTACTGCCCTACTATTTTAGAATGCGTTAATAATTTTAATATAATTTAGATAATTTTCACTACCATTATTTTAAACAGGTATTTACAAGAACTTGTTTATCAGAATTAAAATTGAATAAATTATATTATTAATTTATTTTCGAGATTTTATTTCAATCATTATTAATAATTAAGCTAATTATAAAGGAATTAAATATTCAAATTTATTTGTTGTTATGTGATATTATTCAAGTTTATATCTGCAAAAAACGAAAGCATGATATTAATAAATAACTTTTAATAAAATTAAACTAATGAACAAGTCAACGCTTCTACTGCTACTTTGCCTATCCTTAACTGCTGCCTTTCCAAAATCAAGGAGATTAAACGAAAATACTAAAAGAAAATTAGCAGAATCTTCAGTTGATATTTCAGGTACTTGGGAGCCCTTAAGGATTAAATTTGAATATGTAACTGATGCTGATCTTCAAACAAAAGAGTTTTTGAATCAGATCTTCTCGATATGTGGCACATTTTTGTCAAAACACCTTCTGGTTAGAAGGAGTTCAGATAAAATCTAATTACCTCAAGATGCTCCAACATAATTCAAGGAATACTTTGAGATGGGTACTGATATGTTGTCTGTCTAACATGACGCTGACCTGGTATCTAATTGTAATATATTTTTAGGTCTTTTTTATAAATACAATGAACGATAGTAATGACAGTACATTAGCCTTTTGTGCTCCAGTTGTTTTTGATGACAAGACTAAAAGACCTATCTTTGGAGCTATCGGATGGAATATGGCCTATAGTTAAGTGAGTACCTTAACAAATGCTGGATTTGAATCACAATTAGCAACAGCTGTTCATGAAATCATTCATGGACTTGGTTTTGTGGAGGATCTTTTTAACTAATTTTATGATTCAGTTACAGGTGAAGTCTATCCAGATGGAGGCATGATATAGGATGGGGACGTCGTGAAGATCATAACTCCTAGAGTGCTAGCCTTTGCTAGGAAACATTTCGCATGTGATGATATAGAAGGAGTACCTATGGAATAAGAAGGTGGTGATGGAACTGCTGGATCTCATTGGGAAAGAGCCTTATTCTACAATGAAATGATGACAGGAAATGACATGGTTAGTGATTTTGTACTGACAGACTTTACATTTCAATTATTATAAGATTCAGGATATTATAGATTAGCTGATTACAAACCTGATATATTAACATGGGGAGAAGGATAAGGATGCAGCTTCTATGATTCAATGTGCGAATCTGATTTCCCAGAATTTTGTGCTGATGAAGGAAGTGTAGGATGTGCTATAACCCATAATGGTGTTGGAGTTTGTTCTAGTGATGATTTATCCAACAGTTGTAAGTATTATTAAATCGATCCTAATCTCGATTGTAGAAATGCTAATTCAGTTGGGTATTCTGACAATGGAGCTACCTTTTAAGATTTTGGCTATCATAGTATGTGTGTCGTTGGTGGTTTTGCAGCAGCAAGTGGCACTCCTTAAAAGTTCAGTTGTTATAAATACAGTTGTGATGGCGCATTTACTATCACAGTCAATGGTAAATCCATAGATTGCTCTTCTGGAGGAGAGAAAACTCTTGATGGATTGAGTGGTAGCATCACTTGCCCTGAGAATTACAAATAGTTTTGTGAAAATGCCGATGAATGCCCAAATTAGTGTAACAAAAGAGGTTTCTGTATGAAAGGTGTATGCACTTGTTATGGAAATTATTATGGATCAGGTTGTGAACAAGAAAACTGCACAAAAATTAGAAAAGGAACTGAATGTGTTGACTCATGTCCTTCTGGGTATTATCTCAATGATGCTGTCAATTATTGTATTGGATGTCCAGGAGTAATTATATTATTAATCAAATTAGTATTGCACATCTTGCTCGTCATACAATGCTTGTACACAATGTTAAGACGGTTATGAGTTGAGAGCAGGGTTCTGTGATTTATTATCCAGCAGCAGTTATTCAAGCCATCTAGAAATTCTAGTCCTTCTATCAATAGTGTTAATCTCTTGATATCGATGATGAGGTTATTAATTATATGCAAAACATAACAATATAAATTCAATTGATATGTGGATACGTCCTGAAATTCTTTAGAATTTATTCACTAAATAGTGGTAGTACCCCTATTGAAATGAATATCTTTTTTTCTTATTTTATTTAATTAATTTTACCATTGATTCTTTACTAATAAAATTTATTTGAGTTTTTATTTATAAATAAAATCAAATTAATTATCACATAATGTTACATGAGCAACACTAGCCTTTTATTTAAGGTTTACTCAATTCGATTTCTTTGTAAGTTTAAATTGAGTAGTATTAAGAATCAAGCATACTCAAATAGGCACTTTCTGTCATGTAGTTTTTTTACACACTATCAGTCATATTCCTATGAATGCTTTCTCCCATTCCTCTATATGTATTGATTATTGGCCTTTAATTATTTAATTGAATTTACCATAAACATGTAAAATTTGGTAATGTTCCCTTATATTTAAGCATCAATTAATCTTCATTTATATATTCTTAAAGATAACTTGGATCTTTACAAAATTGTATCTTTTTTGCCGTTTCTGGATGCATCAATTCTATAAAATTATTATTCAAATAAACTTTCAACTAATTTCCAAGCTGCCATTAAAACGAAAGGCGGATTGAGTAGATGTAATTATTCTAATGAGGCTGTGTAGTTTGATTATGTAACATCAATAATTCTTTTGATTATCTGCAAAATATAGACAAAATTACTTGGTGTGGCATTCTAAATATACTGATATCATTTAAATCCACAATAATTCTCCATTTCTCTACATGGTAAGGCACTAACATAAATTTTTATATATGATTCAAGAGAACACATATTGCATTGAGTATTGGTGGCAATTATTCCTATTATATTAATAAAATTTTTACAATATTTGTACTTATTTTTGAAACCTATATAAAAATTAATGGCCTAAACTGTTTGTCTCTCCCCAAACTAAAGACTATCCCTTTTTTCTCAAAATTCAATAATTAATATTACTAAGATATCTTCCCCTGCTTGTGTTAATACTTGATAATCTGAATCCTCCTTCCATTTCAAATACCTCATTAATGTTTAAAAAGCCATCTCAATGTCAAAATTGCCAGAATAACAGAACTTCAATGTAGTTTATTTATCCCACTACAATGGTAGTTAAACCTGTTTTTTTGCGATAAGATCCTCTAATTTTTATATCAATTCTTCTTCAACATCTTCAAATTCTACATTATAAAACACATTTCGTTTTAATTTTCCTTCCACATAATACCTAATATATTCATCTAATTAAATAACCAAATTACCTGCATGTTTTAATTACATTGCTTATTTGGGAGGTTTAAGATAACTGAAATCCATTAAAATGTATTAAAATAAATATTTGTTAAAAACAAAATACAAAATACAAAAAACCAAATTCCATTTTATTAAAATAGATACAAAAAACATTTATCCAGTGAAAGAGAATCAGAATAATTATGATATAATAATACTTATAATGGAAAATTGAAGTTTTGATACTATTAAGAAAAAATCTTGAAATATATTAAAATATACTATTGATATTAATTTTATGTATATAAAATATAATAAACTAAGTTCCAAATCTTTTTTAAAAGGGAATGTTAGTCATTGATATTCGTTTTCCATCCTCTCTAAATTATTTTAACTTGGAGTATTCTAATATATTTTGACATTTCTTCCACTATCTTCTATTTTTAATACGCTTGGCCTATTCTGATTTCGTTTGATTTTTCTAAAATGTTAATGATTTCTATTTATAGTACTTTTTTAATTAGAAACATAATGAACTTATATAGTGTCTTTTATTAGGCGAATCTGCTTCCATAAGTTCTCCTACAGGGCACGAATTATTAGTTGGATATAAATCATATAAATGTTAAGAATCAGCAATTAATTGGAGGTCATTAATCATATTTAATTTATTTTTAATATCAAAATAAAACAGCACAGAATTTCTAATCAAACCTCTATAAAATACTTTGAAATTCATTCTGAGCCATTGTATCTATGCATATACAAATCTACCTCTTAAAAGTTCATTGATTAACCATTTCTTTATTTAAATTGACTACAATAAGTTATATTATTAACTATTTATTTAATAGCAATTCTCTTAATAAAAAAAGAACTTAACATTCTTTAAATCATATTTACCACTTATTTTTAATTCTTTCCCATAATCTTATAGTATCATTTTTATAACTAAATTATTTTTGTTAAATTAACTTAAAATAAATCAAAAGAAACAATCTAATAATATGATATTAGTATTGCCCCCAGACAATATTAATAATTTTAAAAATTTGGTTACTTAATTTCATATGCTTACATTATTTTTCCACTTTTTTTAATTCTTTTAATATAATTGTAACCCGGACTTTTGTTTTATTAAGATAATAATCCTCCAAATTAATGTTTGAATTAAATGGTTGATAGTGTGAGATTATTGTGAAATCGAAAGGGACAAATATTATGATGTTTATGATTACGTTGGATTTCCATAGAATCGAAGAACAGTTATCAAAGTTAGACTTGTCAAAAATATTATAAAATGTTGATTTGATGAATACATTCAATAATATTAACAGATTAAGTGACAATAATTATTAACTTGAATTGATAAAAGTTTAGATTCTTGTCATCCAAGATGTATTATGCTTCTAATTTAAATACATCTAGCTATTTAATCTCAATTAACAAAGGGGCTTTCTTTTTTTGAATAATAATTAATAATTATTTTTATGGATTTGTATCAGTTAGGTAATTTTTATATAAACTTGCAAATATAAATTTGTTGCTTACTTCATTTATTATGAAACTTTACAATTTTTGTAAATGGTATACCTAGGCTTAAATTTAAAACACTCGAAAACATAAAAATTATAATAATTATAAAATAGGAATTTGATTAAGTAGTATAATTGCAATATAATAAATTTTTATATTATCATGATATTAAAATAGAATATGAAATGAGAGATTGGATATGTTGTTCGATAAGTTATTATAAAATTAAATATATATAATTGGTTATATGTATAAATGAAATGTATATATCAGACCACGTGTTTATGAAATTAAGAAAAATATCTTTATTATTTAATGTCAGGACCTGTGTTTAAGGCAGCAGCCAAATGGACTGGAAGAAAGATCAATGTTAAAAATACAGTAGTTGAATTGGACGGAGATGAATAAGCAAGAATCATTTGGAAGATGATCAGAGAGAGATTGGTTTTGCCATATTTGAATGTGAATTTAGAATATTACGATTTGAGTATGGAACATAGAGACAAGACTGATGATAAGGTATGATATTTTACTAGAAAATCAAGGTTACTTTCGATTCAGGATATGCTATCTTAAAACACAAGGTTGGTGTTAAATGTGCAACAATCACAGCAGATGAAGCAAGAGTTGAAGAATTCAAACTTAAAAAGATGTGGCCATCACCAAATGGATCAATCAGAGCTATTTTGGATGGTACCGTATTCAGAGAACCCATTATTTGTAAAAATATCCCAAGATTGGTTCCAGGATGGACATAACCCATTGTGATTGGAAGACATTCATATGGAGATTAATATAAATGCTAAGATGTTAAATTACCAGGACCAGGAAAATTAGAATTAATATACACACCAACATAAGGAGAATAAGTTAAGCGAACAATCTTTGAATTCAAAGGAAAAGGTGGTGTTGGATTGGGAATGTACAATACCTACGAATCTATTGTTAACTTTGCTCATCAATCATTTTAATATGCTTTGATGAGAAAATATCCATTGATGTTGGGAACAAAGAATACTATTTTGAAATAATACGATGGATATTTCAAAGATATTTTCTAAGAGATATTCGAAACTAAATACAAAAAAGTATATTATCTAATATTTACAATAGGATTTCGATGCCAACAAATTATGGTATGAACATAGATTGATCGATGATTTGGTTGCTTAAATGATGAAATCATCAGGAGGATTTGTGTTGGCTTTGAAAAACTACGATGGTGATGTCCAATCAGATATCGTTGCTTAAGGATATGGATCTTTGGGTATGATGACATCAGAATTGGTTGCTAATGATGGTGTTTATGAATCTGAAGCTGCTCACGGAACTATCACTAGACATTACAGAGAACATCAAAAGGGCAAGGAAACATCTACTAATTCAGTTGCCAGTATCTATGCTTGGACCAGAGGTACATCTTATATATTATTTTCTTAGGTCTCAGACACAGAGGAAGATTGGATTAGAACTAAGAATTGATCAAATTCGCTGAAACTCTTGAATCATCTATCATCCAAACTATTGAATCAGGATTATTTACCAAGGATTTGGCTTTGATTGTTCATGGTCCAAAGGCTGACAGATCAACTTATTTGAATACAGAACAATTCATTGATGCTGTCAATGGGTAATTGTAATCAAATCTTGGATTTTTGAAATGAGATATTATAATCATCAAATATAATAAAATAATATTTCTTCTGCTTAAACTTAAATATTTTTAATAGCATTTTTAATATTTTATGAGTGAACACAATATTCATCAGGAAACTAATCAAAAACTAAATGAAATTTTTAATTCAATTAAATTAGAAAATGTAAAAACTTAAGAAGCCTTCAAAAAAATTTCTAATACTAACAATCTTATTACTCAAGTGAAGCGATGTCAATCATTAACCTTACTCCTCCAGAATGTTTAAAATCTAAACCAAGCTCAAAAAGAATTCAAGGAAATTAAAATTAATAATCTATCCATTAAACTAAATAGCGATGTCGTCATATATACCAAAAAAAATGGCCATTGTATTGCAAAAGCAGTTTAAATTATTGGAGTTGCAAGATTCCAACAATTTACACCCATAATTCAAGTCTAATGGTACTACACCAAAAAGGATTTAAAATTGATTATAGGACAATATTGGGATGGCATCAGCTAAAGAGAATTATTCTTGTCTGATCAATATGATTATATATAACCAGACATAATTGTTGGTGAAGCCTAAGTTTTGGAGCTAGAACAATTCAAGCAGAAAAATTTATCAACAGGCTTCGTTTTCTTTTGTAGGTAATTTTTATATCATACTTCATAGATCATTTTATAAAAACTAGTAAATCATCCCACCAATCTAAAAATGGGAGAAGCATTGCAAATGTAGATAGCCAATGAATCCTGATAGGTAATCAGTAATCTGCGATATTTGTTAATTATTGTTTCACAAAGATTGCATACCATTAAACACTAATGTATAAGGAATATATGTATGTCCTTCATGTAAGAAAAAAAAGTGATCTAATTAAAGTTAACTTCGGCTTATTATCAATTATTATTGCTATTTTTACATATACTATTATTTGTATTTCAAAAAAGTCTATATAAAATTCTCAACTCATACATAAGAATACATTTAAAATAGGTGCAATAGTTTTTAATTCTTGTATAATTTCTACTTAAGCTATATATATATACTGCAATAAAAAAATAATGTTTAAAGGTAATATTGAGTTTAGAATACATTATACGAATAAAAATATAATTATTATATATGACAGAATAATTGAACGGTTCTTTTGTTAAATAAGAGGAAGAAATTATCTAATCAAAAAAGGAAGAAATCTTATAGTTCTTTGAGCAATAGGGCTATAAACCTAATTCTGTGTTCGATGATTAACTTTGGTTTTTCCCTGAAATCAATAAGAGTTATGATCATATTTTGTGGAAAATTATTAATGATGCCCTTGGATATGATTATAATAAAGACGATCATGTAGAGTGATAATTTTACATAGTTCGCAACAGAAACAAAGATTGAGGCTTTTGTTCAGAGGTTATTAGATGAAGCTCAAATGATACATACGAAAGTAATGGATTTAAAAAAAAACATTGATTCTTATAAAGATGAAATAGATAATTTTGACAAGTTTTCAAAGATAATTGAAGCTAGTAATCATAAATAAATTCTATGATAGATAAAACTGAATATAATTAAGAGAATGCATTCGTAATATCTTATGTGGATGAAATCAATTAAATAAATGAGATTGCAAAAGTAAATTAATTTAGGATTATAAGTTCTACAGTATCAAATATAAGATAGGCACAATACTCTAGAATTACTAATTATTATACCCAGAAAACTCGAATCGCTCTACCTGCATTTCCAACGATTATTCCATTGAATCGATCTAACTTATTGTAATGGGAAGGAGATTAGATAAAGGAATCGAAGAGACTAGAACTTCAGGAGAAGATTATAAAGAATTAGCTCAAATCAAAATACCAATTTAAGATATATACTAATAAGTAAGGCCCAGACATTTTGCATTACCCACAATTCCCTAGTGCTATTTGATGGTTAATTACTAAGATAAAAGTTTAGATGCACCATTTTGTGAAAATGTAACTATAAATTTACGTTTTGATTTGAGATTGTCTTATTTGTATAGAATGCAAATTATTAAGGACCAGAAATAATATAGGACCGAACTTATAGAAGTAAACAATCACCCAATAACTTATTAGGCAAATGAAGACAAATTTTAATAGCAGCTAGGATTGATGTAGCAATTATTATCTCCATTTAAATCAGAACCTAAATTGCATTATGTGCCAGCCAAAGGCATAGGATTATAATCAGATTTTAAGGATGATAATAGAGAGAACTAATAATTTTTAGAAGAAATTAAACCTCCTAAAGAAAGAGAATCTTGTTGCCTTATCTGTTGAATTTAAATTGATATATTATTGAAATAATAATAATTTATTAATTCTCATAATCTACCCTTATTTAGCTATATATTCTATTAAATTTCTTAAGGAATGTAATACTAAATAATCAAGTTATATAAAATTCTTAAAGAATATACGTCAATATAATATAATAAATTAATAGTTTGTTATTGAAAAAAGTATGATTTAGATAATTTAGGAGTAATGCGTATAAGTTAATACATACAAAATAAAGTTATCATTCAATAATAATGAAGTTATAATAGTAGATCATCATCATGGTTATTCAAATGAGTATTCCAACCTTCTAAGTTTTTTGGCCAAGCCATCCACTAATTTTATTTTGGTTTCTCAAAATTACCTTGACTAATACTCCTATGAGTTATTTATTATGATTATAATTTTCGAATAAAATATGGCGAATTAGGCTCACTAGGTTGTTTTGTAGATGCCTAACATTTAGGGGTGGCATTGCTTAAGTCATCTATTGCCAACGATTACTTGTCTCGAAATTTTAGATGAGGAATTTACAATATTTATTTTTCTTATGAATTAGATTACTTAGAAGACTTTTCTTGCACTGCAATAGGAATTTGGAATATTTTGAATTTCTTCTCTAATCGATTATCATTAGATCTAATAGATTTTATGTCGCTGTTTATATCAATAACATAGAATCCTTCTTTGATTTGCAATTTTTATGTTTGAAATAACTATTTCGATTTTCCTTATTTTGAGTTCATTATTTCTTTTCTCAGTTAAATGATTTTCTTTTCAATAGACAATTTTCGATATCCATTCTATTGTTGTTATTTTTATAAGGGTTATGATTATTTTGTAGGAGATAAAGTATAAGGTTTTAAGAGCGTCGGAACTTATTCTCTTAATGTAGGAATGTTAAATTGATTTTTTGAAGAGACTTTTTATTCTAAATGTATTAGATGCATCGGTTTAGTAGTTCTTGAAGTTTTGGAAGAATTCATAATTATTAATTATTAATTGAAAATAATACATCGAAAGTTAATACAGGTTTTTAGGATATAATTAGTTAATAACTCAATTTACAATAAGTTAGAGTGTTGTAGCTTAAGCAATTTAGCAAAATTGATATTTTCTTCCTCTAATGTTATTGAAAATCTCTATTTATCTTTTCAGCAAAATGCAAATATTCCCTTCAACTTGAAGGTTGAACTTTTTTTAGTACAAAATTGTAATTATAATTTATTGATATTATTTCAATTTTATTTGTATTTAATTTTGCCATGCTATTACAAAATTAGAATATGTTTATAAATAATCTCATAAAAGGAGTTAAGTATATGTTATGATAAAGGAATAGATATATTTGTTTTAATAATTTATATTTATTCCTTTTAATTAAATATTATAAGAATATTAATTTATTTAATGCTTTTATTAATACTCGTTTAGATAGTGTTTGCTTAAATCCAAGAGATTGATTGTGATGTGATTAATAAATTGCTAGAGAGAAGTAATGTGTTTATATCAATTTAGATAGAATATGAAATAAAATAGCCGATTATTTTATTATTTTATTTCAAGTATGGTGCTATATATTAATAAATCAAATCGCCTTGGTTGTAATTTAAGTTTTTAATTTAGACAATATTCTCAAAATTACACTTAATATGAATTCATGCAATTAGATATGAAAGAGTATTCCGAATAATGTATTGTTGGAATTTTTGAGCATAATTATCTTCCATATGGAATCTACATAAATGATAAATTTGAATTTCATGCTGAACTAATTCGTGAATCTGCTCAACTTATTGAATACTTGGAATAAACAAAATAGTTTGAATTTGCCCCATTGCCTAAATTTAATAAATATAGAAAATTGTAGAATATGCTCACAAATTACATTTTTGTAATTATCACTTTCTAACTTAGATCTAAAGCATAAAGGCCATAGGTGTTGTAGCATTGATAATTTTTGCAATTTGGTTCAGATTATAAATTTACAAGGATAAAGACAAGTCAGAATGATGAGAAATTGTTCATTATTTAATAATGTTATTTTATTAAATTTAAATTATAATAAAAATAATTATAGCTCTTCTGGAATTATTGGAAGTATAAACTGCTTTTACTCTTTAAATGAATTAGTTAAAATACTCATATCAAATTATAATATAGATTTAAAATCGTTTAATTTTATTTGAAATCTTATTGACCTAATTGATATTTTAATGATCTGCACTTATTCATAATAATTTGAAATAGAATAGATGAAGAAATTATTATTCATAAAATTTCCTCAACCAATTAGATTAATCAAAAAAGCATTATAGATAACATAATTAAATATCGATATGTAAGTTCATTTTAAATGTTTATAAAAGTTAATAAATATTACAATTATTATTGAGAATAGTGACTCTAAAACTTTTAATATTTCTTACAATTTTCTGATTTTAAGTTATTCTTTTTGATTTAAAAATCGAATAAATATCAAGATACTAATTTACATTATAATAGTTAGGATTTTGAAGTCTAAAGATTTTCAGATTATAATGTTAATTATTAATATTTTATGAAAATTATTATTTTCTTAGCTCTCTTTATAGGAATCACTTATTAGCTTAACTTAAATCCTGTCATTGGAATATTAACAATCCCATCTGATGAAGATTACTCAGAGTACCCAGCTTCATAATATTCATACTTCGCAGCTTCATACGTAAAGTATGTAGAATCATCTGGTGCAAGAGTTCTGCCTATACCTTATGAAGCAGATGAAGCCACACTAGATAGATACTTTTCATAGATTAATGGGCTATTACTCACTGGAGGCACATTAGCTTTAGAAACAGAGTCAGGGCCATCCAAGTATTTATAAACTGTGACATACTTATTAAATAAAGTTGTACAAGCAAATTAATAAGGTGATACTTTCCCGTTGTTTGCCATATGTTTAGGACATTAAACCTTACATTTTATTTTATCTAATAAAGATTATAATGTATTAAGTCCTACTTTTGGAATGATAAGAGTGAATAAAAAATTAACAATTACTGATAAGAGCAGTACAATGTTTTTGGATTTAAAAACCCCAATTATCAAATAAATTGAGATAGATAATTAAAGTATTTTTATTATTAATTATAGTTTATTTCAACACTAATTGGGGAGTGAACCCTTCTTATTATTAAACTCATTCAGAATTGAACAATTTCTTTAAATCAGTAGCTTTGTTCTCAGATGCAAAATAGTCAGTTTATATAGCTGCATCAGAAGGCAGATAATATCCAATTTTTTCATTAGCTTTTCATCCAGAAAAACCAATTTTTGAATTCAAGACACTCTCTTAACATTAATTTGAATCTGTTTAATTCGGTCGAAATTTAATCAATCAATTTACTCAAATTGCCAGATAGAACAATCATAGTTTGAAAGACTCAAATTCAGTCATCTTTAAATATAATCCCATATAATTGGAGAGTGCTTCATTCGCATAAATATATTTCTTTAAATTGGGAGAGCTAAACATTGAATGAATAATTATGCATAAATAAAATAAGGTGATATTTTAATAATTCTCAACAATTATTCTAAATGTTAGAAACTTTCCATCAACCAATATCATAATATCTTAATTGTTTTAATATAAATATATAAATTGAATTGGACATTATTAAATAAATGAGGAAATTATGTAAACCACTCAAGGCACCCTCATTATCTCCACCGTCTCATCAAGTATCAACATACTTAGATAAACAATAAAGGCCATATGAATAATTATATCTGTCTTTCCCTCATTCCAGATCTCAGTTTGATGAGGCTAGATCGAGGGGCAATTTCTCATCTTATTATGAATAAGTAAGCGAATAAACATAAATTTCAAATCCATTTTAATCTAATAAATGGAATCTTAGAAGCGATAGTGAAAAACATAAAAAATAAATTGAAATATTGAATGATCAAATTGTTAAACTCTAAAAAGACTTATAAATTTATAAGAATTAATAAGTAGATAAATTTGATAGAGATCATCAAAATTTAAACGCAGTAATGCAAGGATATCAAAAGAAAGCAAAAGAAAGAAAAGCCATAATGAAAAAGTTATACGCTATTCTGAGGACAAAAGAATAAGAAATTGATGAACTAAGTTAATCTTTTTAATGCTAGATAGATGACATGAATAATAAAATGATCTAATTCCAGGAATAGTGCAATTGTCAATTATTTTAGCAAGAAGATAAAATATAATAATTAGAGTAGATAATAAATACATTATAAAATTTGAAATAATCGAAGTTATAAGAATTAGAAATCAAAGAGCAGAAGATGAAAGATATTTTGTAAAAATTACTTAAGAAACACGAATCTAAAGAAAAAATAGATGAAGTTTAGAATATTTTAGCCTTCATTGTCAAAGAAAAATAAAAATATCAGCTCAAATCACCAGATTATTCTTAATAATAAAATAACATATCCAAAGAATACTAAATAATAATAACTCAATACGAATCTGTTATGATGTAAATTAATAGGTTCAATTAACTAATTAGTGAATAATTTAGACCTGAATATACATCTGAAGATTCTATTTATCAACTGTCTTAGAATATTAAAGAGATGTTAAAATAGAATTGCAGCTTATTTTAAGAAGTAAAAGATTAAAAAGAATAGCAAACTAAATCAATCAAGAAATTAGAAAAATATAAAAAGTAAATTGATTAAAAAAATGACCAGATTGAATCCTTAAAAATGGATATAAAGAATGCACAAATATAAAATTTGGAAACTGTAAACTCTTTGAATGAGCGCATCAAGAAGTAATAGTAATAAATAGAAATTCTATAATAACAAAATATTGAATTGAATAAAATATTAGTGTAAAACGAATAGATTCTTGCTGATCAGCAGGAGAAAGAACATCAATTACTTTAGGAAATCTAAATTATATAACGCGAAAAAACTAAATCTTTACAATAGGATGAAAATGACTCGATCAAATATAAGAACAAAATTAATGATTTACACTAACAAATAGATGATTTAAATGCATAATTAGATAATATGTATAACGAATCGGCTTAATTATAATCATAAATTGATGAATAAGAAATAGAGCATAAAAAAACTCAAATCCAATAAAAAAATACAATTTCAAAATTATAATTAGAAGTTAAGAAGTACTAATAATTAATAGAAGACAATAAATTACATTTTAATCAATAAATCAAATAATAATAATAACAACATAAATAAAGGTAGTAAGAATTGATTAATAACTAAAATTAAATTTAAAAATAATTGAATGAATATTTATAAATCATAGAAAACCTAAAAAATAAAGATAATTTAAATTCAATTTTAGAAAATCTAATAGAGAATTTAAATCTTATTATCAAACAGAAGCTTTTACAAAATCTAAAATCCAGTTTTACTTCAGGATCAAGTCCAATTAGAGGAATAACTAAAACTTAATCTCCAACGAGGCAGATATTATATCATTATCACAATTAAATTGATATTCAAAGGATTCACACCACTTTAGATAACGTATCAGAGTAATTTTAAAATAAACTCAATTTATTAATTAAAAAAGATGAAAAAAATTAAGAGTTAATACAACACTATTGTCAACAGATAGAAGAATCCTAATAAACTATTCAAGAGTTATGTGACGACAATGATTAGCAAAAATAATTTATAACCTAAATGTGTAAACATCTAAATATTGAAAAAATAGAGGATTTATAAGAGCGCAAGTCATCCTCAAGGGAAGACTAATTATATATAGAAACTCTAAATATAAATAATACATAAATATAACATCTAATAAGCTATAATTAATAACTTTAATAGGAAATTCAGTAATAAAAACTTATCATTAAAGATTATGAAATCTAAATTGATCACTAAATAAATTAAATTAAACAATTAAGTCAAGAAAAAGAAGACCTAAGTAAACATGTTTCCCCTACTTAATCTAGTAGAAAAGAGTCTAATATAAAAGTTTTGTAGAATGAAGAAATTTATTGCTAAGATCAATTAGTCTAAACACATAAAGACAAAATTTCTATCTTGAATATGGAAATCTCTAATCTAGAACATCAATTAGACTCATAAATTAAAATAGTGTAATCAAGAAATGAAGAGATTTAAAGTCTTAACACCTAAGTGAGAGATTTATTAGAAAAATAGTAATATTTTGAATAATTGATAAATGAATTAAATACTCACAATTTATAATTGAAAAATTAGGAAGAGATTTAAATAATAAGATTAGAAGGAGTTTCTTATGATATTTCCCATAATAGCTTGAATTTTGATACTCTAAGAACCCCTACGAACCAGCATTAAATAGTTGATGAAATCAAATAGGAATAATAATGTATTAATTTCTCTTTATCTGAAATAGCCTAAATGAGTCCTAACTCTTAGATAAAATAAATAATGTAATTAAATAAAGAATAAGAAAGTTATGTAATACAAGAATAAGAAATAAAATTAGCCAAATAAAAAGATGAACTGAATCAATTAAAATCTGTAATTATTAAAAATGAATCAGAAATAAGTGATCTTAAATCTCAATTGGCCCAGGTGCAAAAAAAAATGGAAAGCTTAATACAAGAATAAAATTTAATGCAAAAAAAGAAGGAAGATTAAATAGAAAAAGAACCTCCTTTTGATGAGGTTGAATTTTATAAAAAGGAAATTTAAGGTTTAAATTTTCGAAATGAGGAGTTATAAATTTAAATAACTTAATTAAAAGTTGAGCTTCAGCAGAATGGAGAATAATTATAAAATTCTTTAATATAAAATGAAAAGAAAACATATGAATAAAATGAAGAAATCCAATATCTTAAAACTTGCATCAGTCAAAAACTAATTTAGATTTCACAGTAGGACTTCTAAATTTAAAATTTACAAGAAAAGTTAGGTAGTCTAACATTAAAATAAAAAAAATTAATTCTAAAAATAAATTCAACCTTAAAAGATATTAGAAATATTTATTATGAACAGTCAGATTATCTGAAATCCAAATTACTTCAAGAATAATAAATTTTTAGTTAAAATTGCAGCTAGTTAGAAACCAAACTATTAGAAAGAAAATAGATATATTAAACTAAAGCAGAAAATGATTAAATAAGATTTTCTCAATTTGTGTAATAAAATGAAATATTTGAGGTAGAAAGAAAATTATTATAACAATAAAATTTGGAAATTTAATAAGAATATGAAAAATTATAAAATTCTTCCCTAGAGTAAGCTTAATTTAATGATTAACTAAATGATAAGTTGAAATCTCTAAAAATCTAAATAGAATAAAAAGACAGACAACTAAAATAAAATGAAATCTAGCTATAGGAGATGGTTGATCAAAAAGAGCTAGCAAATAAATATATTAATACATTATAATTGGAAATAACTTAATTAAAGTAAACTTTAAATAAATTGTCATAAGATAATAATATGGTTTGTGAAAATAATTAAAAGGATTTAGAAGAATATTCCTCAATACTAAAAGAGAAAGAAAAACATCTTAAGATTCTCTAAAATTAATTGCAGGAATTATAAGTATAATATGAATTAGTTACTTAAAATTTACATAAAACTGAATAATGCCTAAGTGAGTAAAATTTGGATATGTAATCTGTAAAAATATTATACGAATCTAAATTGAAAGAATCATCCTAGAATTTAGAAATGAATAAATAGGAGTTTTAACATAAAATGGATATGATGAAGAAAGAAATTAAAAATTTAAAAGAGAAGGATCAAAATAATTTAATGAAACTAGAATAATTTGAACTAAAAGAAGATCTAATTAATAAGTAATAAATAATACTAGCAGGTGAATTACTTCAAATTAGAAATGAATTATAAATAAAAATTAATGAAATAAATTAGATTAATTCGAAAGATCAATTATAAAATGATTTAGAAGAATAAAACTAAGATATATTAAAAGATTATAATAATAATATGTGTGAATAAGAAATTATTCAATTAAAATAGACATTAAAGAAGATGGGCATAGAAATTGTTAAAGTATGTGAACAGCAATAAGATTCGGTTAAACAAAATTAAGAAAAGTTAGAATAATTTACAAAAAGAATAAAATCATTAGAAAGCTAACTTTTAAATTTAGAAAAAGAAAAGTTGTTATCTATTGAATCACAAGAGCATTTTAAAACAGAATCATAACAATATCTTTAAAAAATTATTATGTAGGAAAAACTGAATAATTAGATGGAAAATGAAATGTTATAATAAAAAGCCAAAATCAAATAATTTGAAATTGAGTTAGAAAAAGAGTATGAAAGATCTAAACAAAAGTAAAATTCTAATGCTTAATAAAGAGATCAATTATTAGAAGAAAAAGATAAATAAATCTCGGAATTAATAATTAATTCTGATAAATCAACATAATAAATTAAAGAAGCCTAAAAGATTTCAAACTAACTTTAAATTGATAATGATAAACTAAAAGGTATTCTGAACACTTAATTAGATTAAATTGCATAATTGGAAAAAACAATAAAAAAATACTAATAACAAATGGTACATGCGAATTCTGAAAGAGAGATACTTATTCTTTCATATTAAGAATCAGAAAAAAAGAGTGGAAGTTTAATGAAACAAAATGAAAAATTGTAAATGCAAATGTAACAATAAGAAGAATTAATAAAATAACAATAGCAGTAATTGATTATTTGGAAAGAGGATCTAAAATAAAAATCAAATACCATAACTGATTTATAGAATAAATTATTCGAAACTAATAAATTTTCATCTCAAAAAACGAAGAATCCATAAGATTTACCCTTAAATTAATAATAAATGATTGAACGATAAAAAAATTAGGAAGTTGCTCTCTAGTTTTAATAGATGAAGCAACTTTAAGATTTATATTCAAACTAAATACTTGAGATCTCTGAACTGAAGACCAACATATCAGAATTTTAAGAAAAAGAAATTTTAGATTAAAAAATAAACGAAGATCTAAAGGCTTAACTTTAAAATGCACTGGTAGAAAAAGAGAAACTAAATAATTAAGTAAATAGTATCCTCAATGAAAAATAGTCTATTGAGGTAAAATTAAAAGATGTTACTTAAACTAGATTATAGGAAATTGAATTATATAAATAAGAGATTGCTAAACTAAATTAAGGAAACTAAATAATTTAACAAAAATTGGGTAATGCTTTGGTAGTTAAGTAATAGCTAGGAGATAATTAAAATTAAAAAATCAACCAAGTAAATTTAAATTAATCTGAAATTTCTAAAATTTAAAAAGTAGGTGAAGAAAAATAAAAGTTACTTTTAACTTAGATCAAATAAGAAAAGTAAAAATAAAATAGTCAGATAGAGGAGACTAATAAAGATTAAACTGAGGTACAAGGTTATGCAATTAAGAACTAAAAAGTTAATCAAAAAGAAAAGTCTCAGAAATACCCAAGTAAATCAAACTTAGATAAGGAGGTCATGATTGAACTTTGGTAAGTAGAATAAGGGGCATAAATGATTAATTTTGATGAAAATAAATCTCATATATCCGACAATTCTGATAGAAAACAGCTTGTATCTGTTCTAGATGCAATAAGCGACAATGAAAGTGAAAATTTAGAGAAATCAGGTTATAATTAGAATTAAAGTATGGGTGAGCTTTAAGAAAAAATAGTATAGTTATAGGAGGAAAATGATAAAATACAAAGATAATTGAAGATCCAAGACGATTTTGTATAGATTACTCCTTCATAGGAATCAGAACTAATTAGATAATTAAGATAGGAAATATAAAATTTGAAGAAAGATGAGGAATAAGGATAGGAAAAAAAAAAAGAGTTATAATAAGAAATAGTAAAATTAAGGGATCAATTGACTAAGAAGGATGAAGAAATATAAAATTAAAGAAAAGAATGCTCCAACTACATAGAGATGTGCGAAAAGGCAATTATTTAGGATGAAGATTGGGTGATGGATTTAAATAACTTAGAAGAAGGATATGCTTAAAGATGGCGTATTGTATGTGATAAGTTGGCAGAATACGAAAAATTGTAGGGAGAAATAATTAAGAATCAAAATGAAATATAGGAGTTATAATAGTAGATAAAAAACTATGAAAATTTGAGTATGAGAAGCATAATAGTAAAATAAAGTTAATCATTTGATGATGAGGACATTTTTAGTATTAGGTCTACAGTTTCAAAATTAAGGTAAGAATTAGATTAAGAAAAGTTTGAGAATAATAAATTAAAGTCTTGTTTGAAATCCTATTTAAATGATGAGTAAAGATTTGAAGTACTAATTAGAATATACAATTTAGGAATAAAATTAAAGAGTTAAGGAGGAAAATAAATCTTTAAGAAATAGAATAAATGAACAATAGGAAGAGATCAAATAGTTAAATGAAAAGATTTAGAATTGTCAGGATGGAGCCTTGGCCTCACATTTAATTTCCTTATTAATTAAGTTTTTCGAATCTTTATAAAAAGAGTTTAAATTATAATATTATTCATAGGAATAAATAGGAAATACAAGTGTATTATCAAAGTTTAGTGAGTCTTTGTAGAATTGAATATAATGAATTAGTTATAAACAAGTTGTTCCAAAGTGCAGAAAAGAAAAGCCAAGGGGTTTTCGGAATATTTAGAAGAGATAAGACTAAAGAAAAGTGATATTTACTCTATTAATACTTAAAATATTTAATTGAATTGCAAATGAGTGTCTAAAGACCATAAACCTCCACAACTAGAGACGTGTCAACCAGCGTTTTTGGGTAAAGTTATATAGAATGGGTCTCTTTAAAAAAAGACCTAGATTGGAATTAAGAATAGTACATGAGATAAGTAAATGAGATAATTATTGAATGTAAATTTAAATTCCATTTTATTTTAGAGAATGAATCTCCCACTAAAGAGAAACAAATATAAAATCCAATTTAGTAATATTAGTTGATAACTTATGCTGAAATGATTTAAAGATTTAGATTAAACGAAGGATAATATTCAGTTCGAAATAAATCTAAATGCTCATGCTATGGATTTTCATCGAGTATTTCAACAAGTGATTAGGTTAAACAAAAGTTCATTCAAATGGGAATGATTTAGATAGATCTGAAAAATGAATATCACAGAAATACAATTTTTTCTATACATTGCATATTGAATAATGCTGACAAGGCTAGAGAGAATTAGTTAAAGATGATAACAAAATACGCTTCAAAATATTTTTAGTTAATACAATTTCTTTCTAGTTTAGAATTTGAAACACCACTATTTTAATTGCTTTATAAAGAATCAGGGGAATTATTAATATAATTGGTAATGAATATAGGGGAGATGGTTTTAGAATAGTTATTGAGTAATAAACTAAACAAATTAATCTAAAAAGAGTCATCTCATTTACTACATAATATACTACGAAATTATCAGACTGGTCTCATCTTCCACATGTACAAAGAAATAAAAAAATCAAATACTCCACTCTAACTGTTACTAAAATAATATGAAAAATCTGATCCTCATTTTTATTATTCCTGGTATATCCAATAGAAATAATATAATAATAATCTATTCTTAGATTGATTTTATATATATTTAATTAGTTATTATCATTATATTAACAAAGCAATAATTAACATTGAGATTAGTGACGCATAGCTATTTAAACATTCTCCAGTATAGTAACCTTCAATTTCATTATTCTGACAAGCACTGCAAGGATTATCGTAGGTTCTTTCGCATCCATTACCATTGCAAGACTTCAAGACCCCACATGTTTGAACATATTGTTGATCACACTCAGTAGGTCTTTGAGCCTAGCAATATTGGTAATTGGCCACAAAAGTATCTGATTATTGTTCAGCACTATAAAACAGTTCTTAGTATTGGTTGCAATCACCAACAAAATAAGATGTAATATTGACTTATTGGCATGGTTCACATTTGTTATCAAATGGTTACAAACAAGGTGGGTTTTAACAAACAGCAGTTTCATCTAAAAAGCCACAAACAGTAACTTGTTCCTTCAATTCGCAGTTCTTTGAAGACTCAGTGCTACATTAAATTACTGTAGGAGTCTAAGGCCTTAAATTATTAATTTATTAATATACTTATATTCAGAGCAATTTCCAACGAAGTAACTATGAATTGAAGTATTTCTACAGGCCAAACACTCATTGGTAAATTGCTGTAAACAATTTTATCCAGTACATTTAATAGTAGAATCAAAGAGTCCACATATAGATTTTACACTAAATAGGTTCTAAATGATATTTACCTGGTATCGCATACACTGGGTCTGGGATTAGTACAAGATATGGTCTAAGTATAATTTCCAGAAGTAGGTTTAGGACTATTGTTATCCACTCCGACAGATGTCTGTGGAATATCGATTTTAGTGTCATCTCCCTTCTTTTAACAATCCCCTTTTAGATACTTCACCACCTAACTTGCTTTACAAGCATAGCAATAATTAACAAAAGTTTAGATGGGTGTATTGGAAATATTTAACCCACAAACTGGTTCATAGTTATCTGAACATTCTCCTTATTGAATTTTGCAATCATATATTTATGAATGCACTAGTGAGAGCAACAGCATAAAGAGCATCGATTAGATTTTGTAAAATACAATAATTATTACTAAAAATAGTGAAAAAATTATCACATAAAAATATTGATTTAATTGCGATTTTATAAAATAATAAATATTTTTTGATATTCAGCAAAGTGGTTTTAAGTATCAAATTAAATTTTTATGAAAAGTTTAAGTGATATAATTGTACAAATTCTTATCTTTTTTGGAATTCAATAATTATCGTCTTGTTCTGAATTAATATATAAAAATCATTCTAAATTATTATTTAATAATCATAACTTTTCTAACAAGTAATATTATTTTTATATACATTCTCAATCTCTAATTTTATATAAGGAATCTTCAAATACTTAAATATGAATCGCTTAAAATCTAAGCCAAAATTGATTAAGTGTATATTTATTAAGCTATTTAGAGATTAAGTTTATTAGATTTTTAATATTAAGGGGATTGGATTATTTTTACTGATTGTGAAATGGTTGATATTTATCAATCATATTAATATAATCAATTTTTTTCTTATTTTTAATTAAATAGTGAGATAATAATAATGTTAAGGTTTTAGAAATTAGGGGAAGATGAGTAAGCTCGTTTGGATCAGGAAAGCCTTAAACAAAAAAAGGAATTGTTAAAATAAGAATTTGAACACTAGGAAGAAATAAGAAAATATGACAACCTTTCGATTGTTTCATCCAATGACTTCAAATTTAAGGCAGAATTAGATAAATTGCAAAGCGAAAACAAAAAAAAACAATAAGAATTAGAACTTCTGTTAAAAGCAGGATAAAATAAAAGAAAATCTAAAACAGGAACTTCTTAGATGCATGCATCCACTAGTGGTTACGGGGTTATTCATTCTATAAATAATCATCATTCTGACCCATTGTTTGAAACTTTTAGTGGGAATGTGAATCTTAAGTTATTAGATTTGGAATAGAGAGATTAATATATAGAATCATTGCTGTTGTAGGAATCTCGTTATGAAAATTTGATATTGGAGGAGTAGGAGAAGAGTGAGTCCTTGCAAAAGATCCTAGTTGAAATTGAAAAATCTAAACTAATCTAACAACGAAAATGTGAAGAATTACAAATTATACTAAGCAAAGCAGATAAGAGGTTTAATAATACTGATGCTGTTAAATTGATGGCCGAAAACAAGAAGTTTTTAAGTAAGAAGAACCTATAATCTATAAAAAATGAGTTTGGTTAAATGAAGTAAATGTAAGACACTTACAAACATTCATAGGAAAATAAATAATAATAATTGTAAAAGATACTATATGTTGGTGAAGAAAACATAGGACATAATGTTTTAAAAATGGAGGAAGCAGAACGATTTATAGATGCTTAAAATAAAGAGTTTGAGATTTTAGAAGAGAAGAAATAAAATTAATTGAAAAAGAAATAAGAAAGCAGATATATTCTTACTTATATTGAATTTTTTGAGATTTTTGAATAAATATTCATGAACAAAGAGAAACCAAATGAAATTAGATTGGTTGATCAATACACAGTGAATGAGGAATTTTTATAAAAATGGAATCATAATTAATAAAATGATAATTTATAATAAGAACAAGAGATGAACTTTGATAGAAATGAATTGCTCTCTCAAATCAATAAATTCTATTAAGACAATGAATAAAGAACTGAGTACATACTTGAGTTTATGTTAGAAAAGTATTGGCATCTTCAATAAGAATTAACTAAACAAAGTATTTCTTATGAAAATCTCTTAAAGCAAAAGGAACTTCTTTTGGATGAAATTGAGAATCTAGATTATGAGTTAGAAGAATTAAAATTGAAGAATCCAAATTTAGAAATTCATGAGTAGTCAATTGTGGCTGAAGATGCTGGTTTAATGAATCTTAAAAATGAAACTACAACTCTAAATATTAAGAAAATGGAAATAGAAGAACATCCTGAACAGGTAGTTTGGATAAAGGCTACTAAAACTTAAGGATTATTAATGAACTTTTAACTTGGATTAGCTGAATACTTACATAGAATTTATTAAATTATTTAAGCCATTGATTAGAAAAATAAGGAAAATAAGAAGTTTAAGTATCCAAGCTTAAATAATGAAATAAATGGTATAAATTTATTGATATCGAAAATATATAATATAAGCAAAAGTTAGAATCAAAATAATGAGTTAACTCAATAACATTTAAACCAATTTGCAATTCATAATATTGTAATTGAAGTGTTTCCTGCATTCAAAGAATAAGAATAGCATCAAATCAGTTAGTATTTCTACATTTAAAGCAAAACAGATTAAATCCTATGGTTTAATTTGAGTGTTGAAAATTTAACCAACTTTTTAAAATCTTAAGAGAATTCATCATTATAAAAGTTACTCAGTCCAGATATCATTAATGAATTTAGAGATCAATTGATCGAAATATTTAAATATAATTTTCATAAATTATTTGAATATTATCAAACAATGTATAAAAAGATTAGAGATATCAGTTCAGATTTATTGTAATTTTTAAAAGAAATTAATCCAAAGTTTGATATTAAAAAATTAACAAAGCTACTATTGAGGGAAGGTCAAGACATTTAATCAGCTAAAGATTTGATTATAAGAAGAATGATGGAATATAAAACTGGAGAAATCATACCATTAAATAGTAAAAATGATTTGAATAAAATATAAAATCTAAGACCAAAAACAGAAGAGGAACAAATCTAAAGTGTTTCTTAGCAACAATAATAATAATCTGATTAATCAGATCCCTCTTTATTGTTTCCAAAAAAAGAAAGATTGGACGAAGATAAATTGTCTTAAATTTAAACATTCTTTAGGGCAAAAATAAGAGAAAAAAATGAATAATTGAGAGATCAAAAACATAATGATACTATTTCAACTAAAGATAGGCCAGGTAGTAATGTAGAACAATTAAATTCTGAAAGTATCTCCATGATTAAAGGTGAAAATAAGATGAACAGAGCAAAATCAAAAAAATTGGTAGAGAGTAAGACAGCTCGTAATTTAAAGGATGATTTGGAGTAAGAAAGGAGTTTATTGAAGGCATAAATAGCTGCTGATTTATTAAGATTGAAAGAAGAATAAGAAAGAAAAGATAAACCTTTAATGAAAGAGTAATAAAATGAAATTAAAGTGCAGATAAAACAGGCAACTGAGAGATTGTATGGGGAAAGACAATATACAGTTTAGATAATGAGAAATATGGCATAAACTACTGGGATTCTAAGTGACATTAATTAATTAGAGCATTTCTCTTCAAAAATAGAGTCTCCTTAATTAGTTGGCCAATTTGTTATTTAAAGAAAGAATTTACATAGGAATTTAAATAAAGAGTTAGGTTTACCAACTTTATCTTATTTGAAACCTACTAGTGCTTATTATTCTAGGAGAAATCAATCTTCTGAATAAATTAAGGCTATGGATTATAAAAGATATAATGAAATAGAAAATGGAGTTAGTTCACGACCTTATACTTAATATTAATCAAGTCGCAAGCCTTAAACTACTTCCAATAACAATAGCTCTAGAAAAAGAACCAATCAAAATTAGGATGAATTAAAAAATAAATATTCAGGAAGAACAAGAGTGACAAACAATAATGATTCAATGAATAAATTTCCTGTAGCATGCGAGATATTTTAATATGAATAACCCAAATCACTATTAGTGCCAATAGCATCATGAATTATGTTATATTTTAATTTATTATTAATGCATTCTTTAATAATTAGTAAAAATAATGATAAATTTGAATACCTTATAACTTCTGAGTTGTGTGATAATCATATTAATCTAAGTTTACAGGTATAAAGAAAAATACTTTTGGAATATAATAAAAGCATATTTTAACATACTCACCGTTTAAGTTTACATATTAACCATATATAATGAAATTCAATAAATATAATAATACTTGGGATATGGCAAGAATATCAATTATACTATGGTATATATGCTAAAAAGACTTCAAACAACACTTTACATATAGTCATTGTCAATTTACATAGGAATACTATTTATTATTATATTCTTGAAAAATTTGCATCAAAATAACAGAAGACTTAGTTATAAAATTTTGATCCTAATCTAGTCACTTCTATAAACAATATTATTTTAGTTTATTTTTATTATTTGTGCTTTATACATAAAGTACTTGGATAAAACCCAGCAATTTAAAGATTGTTTAGAAATAGTTTATATTAGAGCTCTATTTTTATTTTCAGCTATAAGTTCTATGCCACCAATTATGCAAGTTCTGCTAGAGCAACCATTAAATAATTTTAAGTCATCTATAAGAATGATCAAGCAACCCTTTATAAAGGATATAAAATTTAAGTCAGTTTTATAGATGAAATAAATATAAACGGATGAGGAGTTAGCAAAATTAAACAATTCAGAATCTGATTCAATGTTAATTTTTGAAGATATAGAAGATAACGGTGACATTAAGATCTCAGACTTATGTAAGCATTATGTCATTATTTGTATTCAATCTATATGGAATGTGATGTAGTTACTTGGAAGATCCTTAAGCTTAATATATAACACAATACAATTAATTATGGCATTTGTTTTAATATTTGGATTCATTTGTATTTTTATCTAGTATATTGATCCAAATAGTGATTTATTGAGTTAACTGAATGCCATCGATTTTTTTTCGAATTAATTGGATCAAAATAGTTAAGAAAGTAAAATGAAATAGATCCAATTTTAAATGGTTGAAGTAATCACCATTGCTATATTTAAGTTTGTATTTATCATAATTATGTATTTTGGTACAAATAATCGAATTTAATACTCAAAAAGTATCTATATATAATTATTTTATAGACAGGTAATTAATTGACAATGTTACAAACTTGACAGTAATAATCAGAAAAAATTTGCTGAATTTTACACTAATTGGCCTTTTAACAACTTTATATCCTAATTTAACATTTACTATCAATAATTCAAATTGCTTTAAGGAAATTTAGTATAGGGATGGCTATTTAATAAAAATGGGACAGGTGATATCTATGAATGAGTAATAGAATTGCCCTATTACTTTAACTTATTTAATTTCATTATAGATATTTGAAAGTCAAATAACAACAACAATAGGATTATTAATTTTATTATTTTACCTGTTTACAGCATTCTACATATTGTGTTTAAAAAGAAAAAACAAAAATTTAAACGAGATTTGAAATTTATTATGATTAATTAATTATTGTTAAAATATGAATCATAATAGTACGACAGAAGACACATAATCTTCTCTTTTGGATGCAAAGTCCAAAAAGTCTTAAGTTTTCCAAAAAATATTCTTTTTTATCTTGGGGGTTTCATCATTGTCAGGATGGAATGCCATCTTGACTGGATTATCGTATTTTGCTGATTAATTTGAAGGTAACAATAAGACTACTATACTTAGGACGTAATGTTTATTTCATACTGCCTATCCCCAACTTCATAAGCTTGTGTCTGATTGGATTATTCCTACCTCGAATCAGTTCTATGCTTTCGATGTTTGTCAGGGTTGTGTGGTCATTGATAATTTTGTGCATTCTTTTGATTCTTTTACCAATTATAGCATTGTTAATGCATAACTCTCTAGGTATGGGATCAATGAATATAAAAAGGATTTTGGTTATGTTTAACAATAATCTTCATTATGGGAATTTTTTCATCACTATAATAGAATAGTACGATTGGGATGTGTGGGATTCTTGGTCCAGATTATGTTAATGTCTTCTTTATTGGTACAGGAGCTTCTGGAACTATCATCACAATTTTTAGATTAATATCTTTGGCTGCCATCGACAGTGAGAAATGTAATTAAATTCTATATAGAGTAGCAATATTTTTATATATTGGAATAGCAGTGCTTTGGAATATAGGTGCAATATTTATGTATTTTGCATTCACAAAAACTCCATAATATAGAAAGATTATATAAGCTCACAAGAAGGGTAGGAAGTCGGTTTTGGTTCATGATCAAATTATTACCCAGGAGGAACCTGATAATTTAGTATAAAATGATAGTGTAATTTCTGACATCATCGATCCTGAAACTTTTAATTAAATTAATTAAACTTAAGATTCAAATCCTAAAATTGATAATTAAGTAACCAACAAAACTACCGATCAGATTTCTATAGAAAAAATGAATGTAATCTAAACCTTGGTTTGGATTAACAAAGTAGCCTTTCCCATTCCATTATTGCTTGTGATTCTTTACATTTAAACCTTCATGATGTTTCCAGGGGTAGCCTTCTAAAAGTCTTTCGATCCCGATTTCATTAATTGGGGTCAATGTTTCATTAGTTTAGGATACAATATTGGAGATACCTTAGGAAAGTTCTTAGCAGGTAATAGAAAGCTATTTAATTTACAAATTTTAATTGGATTGTTTTTAGGAAGATTTGTTTTTTTTTACACCTACATCGCAATAGCCAAAGGAACCCTAGATGCTGATTGGATTTCTTATTTAAATACATTTTTATTTGGAACCATCAATGGATTTATCACAACAGGCTACATGATATTGGGACCAGAAAAAGTAATTGAGAATATTTATATTATAGACAAACGAAGGGTTTGTGAAAGAAAAAATTGGTTTTGTGTCAGGATTTTCCCTTTGTTTTGGACTTATGTTAGGAACTTTCATGGCTTTGCCATTTTCTAATATTTCAAAATGATTGTATTATTAATAAAAACATAGAGATGCATAAATATAAATATAAATTGTTTATAACTTTCTATTTAAATTAATAGGTTCCTCTTATCCTTTTCTTCTTTTTGTTTGATTGGAAACGTGGTTTAATTTTAGTTATATGCATTTAAAAATGTATATGAAATTTTGACAATTTTTAGTAGGGTCTTTTGAAGCTAGCTGATTTACACACTCAAAAATTTTTATTATGTGAATTATTTATATTATTTCGAATCGTATTGTTGATTTTGGCGGATAAATGGAAGTAATTTGATATTTCATAAACTTTTAGCAATTTATAAAGGACCGTGATTCCACAGATAGTAACTCTATAATCATTTATATTTAGAAAAATCCCCCTAAAAATTAATTTTAGTTAGATCACCCAATACATATCAGAAGTAAAACTCACCCAAATAAAGCAAAGAGGAAATTAAAAAAAATAAGATCATAAAGAAACTAGAATTTAATGATGAATTTCTTATTATTAAGTAGGATGGAATAATTAGTCGAAGTACTCGCTAAATTCCTAAAAGCAACTAAGGTATGAGTATTGTATTACTAAGTTAATTCTTCATATACCTTGGGTCTTCTAAATTCCATAGAACTTAATCATAAAAATGAAATTATTAACAAATTGATCAAAACAAATGACCATGAAATATTATAAGTCTCTAGAACTTCTAATAATATTTATTGTAAGTGTCGTAAATCTAAATGCATTCAAAACTATTGTGTCTGTAGTGCCAATAATTAGGAATGTAAATCAAATTGTGAATGTTATAATTGTTCAAACAAATCACCCAAATCTGCACCTCCCAAAATGTCTTCTATAGAGTTTAATGGTTGTAATTGTAGAAAACAAAAGTGATCTTATTTAATATCATTACATAGTTGTTCCAAACGCTATTGTGAATGTCAAAAGAGAAAGACTAAGTGCACTTCAAGATGCAATTGTTGTGAGGATTGTGAAAACTAAGAGATCCAGCCCTAGCCATTCCAATTAGATAGCCTATCCTGATTTTAAATTCATTAAATAAATTTTATTTCAGTTAATTTAAAATAAAAGGAAATAAAATTATTTTCAATAGTTATTCTTTAACTTAGTTTTTTTACATTCTTAATTTTATAAATAAAGTAACTGCAAATTGTTAACAATAGAAACCATATATATGTATATATGAAAACATTTAGAATGATAATAAATCAGCTAATTTAAACATAAATATAATATTCATTTCTTTCCCTTCTTTTTTTATTTATTTTTATCAGTTTATGGCTTTTCTTCTTTTTTTTTTGGCTTGTCTTACTATTTAGGATTATTATTTTTTTATTTAGTATTCTTCTTCTATTTTTGTTCGTCCTCATCAATATCCTCCTCTTAGTTAACTTCTTCATTTAAATCATCTTCGTTATTTTTGGTCTTCCTAACAACATTGGTTGAAGCTACTGCTCTCCTCTCTTTGCCAAATCTATCTGCAGAATCCATTGATTATTTCATTGCTTTATTCAAAGCTGTTCTGACTTGTGATGTTATTTCAGTCATCAAGTCTCTTTTTGGGAACAATGCCAATGAACCAACTATGCATTCTTCAAATTATTAAATATTTAGATTGTAGGTTCTTAACAATGTTACGATTTCATCAATGCAACTTAAACCAGCACTAGCCAAACTTTAAATAACAAAGAACGAAAATGGTTCTATGTATTAAAATTTAATTGCCTTAGTATTTGTTAAATATGTTTATTAAGCAAATGCTTCTTTCACTTCTAGAATTTGTCTTTTAATTTTATTCTCGCTCGATATTTTACCAAGCATCTAAGGAAAATTCACTTTTGAAAGAATATTCCCTTTCAAAATTTAAGTAGGATACATAGTTGACAAGAATCCCACATTAGGCATCAATCCCCACATCTATGATCTAACCTTTGTATTCAAAACATCAGCATCAGCCAGTGAGGAGGCAGCAAGAGAAATATTTTAAATTGAATTGGAAGGAGTCTTCTTCACCAAACTCAAGTCTAAATAGTTCTCATGATAAAAGAATTGGGTCATATCTGGATCCTAAAAATAGTAGTCCATTAATTTATGAATTGGTAAGTTTTATGAGTCCTTGTAATTCAATAGCATTCTTGTCGATTCATATAAATTTGTAGTAACAGAACCATCCTTTCCGATATTTTTATCTATATGCAATTTTAAACCGACTTTGTGCATTTACAATAAGTTTAGCAATTATCTTATATCACACTAAGAGACCTCAATTTACTATTTCAATTCTGCAGGGTCGTAACTGATATTTTCAGATTTGCAGATGAATTCAAGTTTTTTAAAAATTTCAACTTAATTGGGCTTTTTAAACTATAAATCTAAACAATAATTGGCTAGAGATCTCATCGATTACTTATTTCGATCATTGCAAATACAAACAATAGGGACCTTAGTTAATCTGATCATATCAATTAAACATTTATTTCCACCTCTATCACTACCAGTCATTCCATCTACTTCATCCATTAAGATGATAGTCTTTCCTTCACTAATAAGATTAGCATCCTTAAATCTAAGAACTGTGTTATCTTAAAGATGTTTCACGTAATTTTCAATTTAAAGTTTACTCCTAACATCCGATGCATTCCATTCAATCAGCTAATAAGACTTTTGTTTTGCAATCAATCTGATAATAGTGGTTTTACCAATTCCAGGAGGACCTGATAATAGGAGAGCTTTGGCAGCAAAATTTTATGATTAAAATGAGCCAGGACATACTGATAATTATAAATTAAAAACATACTTTCTAATTGAGGCTTGCCCCATTTATCTAACCATTTAACAATATTTGGAACATGTGTTTGATCTAGACAGTCTGATACTTTAGAAGGAGCATATTTATTAGTCCAAAGTTAACATTTTTATTTGGTGTCTTCAACCAATATTTACTCCATTTTCTAGACTTTCTTTTGATCTTCTTGGATTTATTTATTTTTGGAGAAATTAACTATTTCAGGTTTCAAATCAACTTATTTTTCAACTATAACTACTTCACTGTCAAACTTAGCTCTGAGATTGCTTTTAACTTCTTAGACAGCCTAATTTGTTGGTTATTTAGATAGTTGTTATGATTGTGACTTTTAGACTAATGAGGATTGTTAACTTTGTTGTTTTTATTATTGATCTGATTATACTTTTATTTCTTATGCATTTTATTGAATATCTTTACATGCCAATTAAAAGGATTTGTTTAAATCATTTCCTGTATATGATATTAAATAATTATTAAAACCTTCTTCATCAAGAATCAAGTTCTTGTACTTTTCAGCATCCTTCATATGTTAACTATCTGAAACACTCTTACCATTGTTCTGTTTCTATCCCTAAAGCAAAATTGTATCCTAAAGCACTCTGCATTTGCTGAATCCTCCATAATGTTTAATAATTTTGACTAAATCTTCTCGTTTATATTTCTCAAAATTTCCCAGTATATAATAATTCTTTCCTTCTAAAGGTTGACTTGTAGTGTTTTTGTGAGAATCCTCTTCAATTTCAATTTTTGCTACTTAAACATGTTCTTATTCAAAAGGAATTCTTTTTTCCTGTTCAAACGTCTTAGTTTCTACTTCTGAAGCTTGAGATGTGACTTTTAAAAGTTGAGTAGCCTGAGTTGTATTTGTGGATGTTCTTGTAATCCCAGCAAGATGTTTAAAGTTAGTCGGAAGATCAAAGTCACTGTCTTAATCTTCAGACAGGTCACATCGTTACTCCTCTTCCTTCTAGTTGGTGGGTTGTTTTGTTTCTTCTACCATTCTGAATTCAATGATTTTTTGTTTCTTTGGTTGTTGAACATTCTAACCTGAGTTCCCTTTTTGCAAAAAACGATCCAACTATCCTTATTATTGTTTGCTTTCATCAATAAATTAGAATCTTGAATATTTTTGTTTTTAATTGTCTTCTTGATCGGAATCCTCGGATGATGACTCCTATTTTAACGTGATTGGTTATTAAATTGGTGGTTTTTCTTCTTCGAGATGAGATGCTTTTATTAATCTTTTTCTCATTTCCCGCTTTTTATAATTAAAAGATTAATAAATAAATAGTGTGAAATGAACATTTTTATCATAATTATCTGTGTTTATTAATTATGATAATAATGACATTCCCCAAAATAAACACACAATTTCATTTTAAGAGAATGAGTGAAAATTAATTATTATATATATAAAAGAATGTCTATAGCTGAATAAAAGTTTATGGTTGATGCCTAAGGAAGGAATCTAGTTGAAATGAGACCTCCTGGCATTTAGAACAATCAACCCAATGACATCCAAATTACTGCTGAACAATTATTGAAAGTATAATTCATACACATCATCATTTAAGGATGCTGAAATCCATCAAACCAAAGAGATTAGACCTCCTCAACAAAGGATTATGGATGAGGCTGAATTATAAGAGTATAAATTCAGGAAGAGAATCCTATTTGAAAACAGAGTTAGAAGATAAAGAAATTACTTGGGAATTTGGATCAGATATGCTTAATTTGAAGAAGGATTATTAGAATTCAGAAGGGCTAGATCCATATTTGAAAGAGCATTAGAAGTTGATCCTTCTAACATTGGAGTTTGGATGAAATATATCGAAATGGAGATGAGACATAAATTTATTAATCATGCTAGAAATGTATTTGAAAGAGCTATTTATCAAATGCCAAGAATTGATTAGTTTTGGTTTAAATATAGTTATATGGAGGAAGTATTGGGCAATTATTAAGCAGCAAGAGAGATATTTAATAGATGGATGACATGGAAACCAGAAGAAAAGGCATGGATGGCATTCTTGAAATTTGAAGAAAGAATGGGAGAAAGAGAAAATCAAAGATAAATTATGTATAAGTATATGGAAGCATTTCCTAAATTAAAAGTGTATTTGAAGGTAGCAAAATTTGAAATCAAATAAAAAGCTTGGGACTCAGCTAGAAATATTTATGAGAGAACTTTAGAAGAATTAGGTTAAGAAGCATTAAAAGAAGAATACTTTATAGATTTTGGCAGATTTGAAATCAGAAATAAAGAATATGAAAGAGCTAGAGAAATATTTAGATTTGGATTGAAAAACATAGCCAAGGATAAAGCATATTAATTATATTAAGAATACTTAGCATTTGAAAAACAATATGGAGAGAAGGATGAAATTGATTAAATCATTCTTAATAAGAGAAGAATATTTTATAAGGAATTGATATCATAAAATGCATACAATTATGATGCTTGGTTTGATTTAGCTAATTTAGAAATGAGTACTAAAGATGTTAATAGAATAAGAGAATCTTTTGAAGCTGCTATTAAGAATGTCCCTCCAGGTAATGAAAAAAGATTTTGGAGACGATACATATATTTATGGTATAATTATGCAGTTTTTGAAGAATTAGAAGCAAATAATATCTAAAAAGCTATTGAAATATTTGAAAGAGCTATTTAATTGGTTCCACATCAATAGTTTACCTTCTCTAAATTATGGATTTTATATGCTTAATTATTAGTAAGAGGTAAAGACATTGATAAAATGAGAAAGGTTTATGGTTTGGCTATTGGTATATGTCCAAATATTAAGATATTCCAGGAATACATACAAATTGAATTACAATTAGCAAACATTGACAGAGCTAGAATATTATATTAGAGATTTATTGAAATATTCCCAGATAATCCCATTCCTTGGATTAAATTTGCAGAATTCGAAAATGACTTAGAAGAATATGAAAGATCAGAACTGATATTTGAATTAGCATTACAGAATAATCAAATGAACATGCCAGAAACTATATGGAGAGCATATATCGATAATTAAATTAAGCTGTAGAATTATGAAAAGGTCAGAGATTTATATGAAAAACTACTTGAAAGATCCAAACATGTCAAAATTTGGATCAGTTATGCATAATTTGAATTATCAATCAAGAATATTACTGGATTTAGAGCTGCTATGCAGAGAGGAGAGAAATGCTATATAGGAAA